ACTTTCATACCTCATTGCCTGTCAAACTTGTTCAGTTTTGGGATTAAAAACTTGAGTCTCAAGCATTATTATGCATAACTACTATGCCTCCTTGAGCCTGTTGTTACTACAGTATTATAGTAGCAGCAAGATTGATTGTGTGTTTTCTGGTTGGGTCTTGTATGAATCAATACATCTTTGCTATCATAGCAAACATAAAGGTCCTTGAAAAATATTTCAATAACACTTACAAATTGCATGGCATGATACTACTTGCCATATTTCTATATGAAAGTAAACTCCACTTGTTTGTTTCACTCTAAGCCATACACAATTTTTGTATACTCATCAAGGGTCCAACTACCTTGTTATTAGAACAACTAACGTTTTGTCCAAAGTGAATAGCTATGCAAGCATAGCTCGATTTTGCGAGGAACCAAGGGCATATACAGTCGTGATCACACAGATTAGCCTTATAACAAGGGTGGAGACAATCCCCTCGACTGCATTGAAAAGAGATAAGTAGCCCTAAACTTACTTGTGCCACGTTACTATATTTCTAATTAGACTTTTATAACAAATGTAATCTCGATTATACTCTTTAGATAACACATTAAATGTGTTTTCCTCCTTTGAGGTGATTTAACGAAATGTGTGCAGTTACAATAACTTGCCCGAGCGTGGCGCAGTTGTACTACTTGGTTTTGCAGGTCTTACAATAAAGTAATTCGAGGAGCATCCTTCTCGAATCATGAAGCAACCCACTCTAAAGGGCAATGACCTGCAAGAAAAGGAAGATAAGTATTATCATCTCCTTAGCATTTACATTATCTCTGGATACCATCCCCTTGAGTAAATAGTATATCATCTATTATTAAGATTAAATCATAGTGTCATGGCACCTATGCTTTCTCGAGTGGAGTTTAATTGCCATTTACGATCTAGATCTTGATCATATCACGTTATGTTGTTTACCTCCATACTTCTCAAAAAGCTGCTAATCCAAGATCTTGAGAATACTAATGAAAAGCCTTCTATCATGAAGGCATCCTCGATTGTCCAGAAGAACTTCAATATATTTTTGCAGAACTTACAGAAATACGAGAACGAAGATAGCTCCCCTGTGACACAAGCATGTAATCAGGCCACATCAGCCTCAAACAAATGAAGCACACATACACGGTGCACGTCAAGAATGAGCTCTGTCAACAATAATGAGGAGCTTCTCGACAAATGGGTATCGCCACGCTGGCTTGTGGATCCCCCTGGAAGTGTACCAAAAGATAAGTGATACACTCTCCTTATAATTTTGTTTATGCTATATATGAACATCTGCATCATATATGAATGTTGCGATAGTTCATAAGTATGGAATAGTTGTTCTTGCACTCCTATTATGAAGCATTAGGCATACGTGTTTCTTGGGCCTCTTCAGTGTCCTCGATCTTTCACATGCAAACTTCTTGTACGAAAAGTCTTTCTCAGATGCATGATTTATTTACCACTTATTTGCCTCATGGCACATTAGTAATGAACCATGACATTATACCTTTTACAGATACATGACTTTGTTTACTCTCCACGAAGTAAATTTTTCGAGAAGACACTCGTACACGATAGCTAAGTCATGTTCATCTTCTTTCTTTTGAAAGGGGGCAGATACCCCTCTCGTGTTTATAGTTGTCGGTAATATACTCTAAAGGTCGTATTGTAGGATGGTTTCTTTTCCTCGACCCGTAAGTTGCAATGGATCGTTGTGTTTACTCTGCTGAACAACTAACTTGCAGTTGCTCTCTCGAAGCTGCAATGGCTTTCACATCTGATGGTCCAGTTCTATGTCAAATCGCTATGACTCTTCATGGGTCCGTAGTAAATACAAATCCGTGGAGAAACATTGTATGATATCCGCAACATTCTTTCATTGCTGTTGTGAGCTGACCAAACCATGGTTTCAAGAACACTGCTCGTATCATGGTGTTTTGTCAAGATCAGAGACCAGGTTGGTTGATCATGGTGTCCATGCTCGAGAGCATCACCATCAGATTAATGTATCCTCGGTAGTTATTATCGAAGAGTTCAGGGGAATACTTCCTCGAAACTAAGGTACGCTCGAATAATCCCTTCGAATATGCATCCTCGATCGAGGAGCCAATATATACATCAAGGTTCGAGAGCCTTTATGTGCTTATTAGATGAACTTCTCACTATCTTTCAGTTGACATGTCATTATTATTATTATACTTGTAATAAATGTCTTGGACTAAGCTGTAGGACAAACATACCCCAAGAACTCTGGGACAAAAAAAGCAGGGATACGTAACTGTCGCATCTGGACCCTCGAGGACAGCAGCAACATCAAGTTCGCTCTAGCCTTAGGGCGTTTATTCTTTAAACCCGGGATATGAACTATTAGTCTAATGCACATAGTGGTAGCCCACTCGAGTACTCATGGGAGCTGTTATATCTTTTATACGCAGTTACACCCAGTTAAATATGATTAGTCATTTGAACGGACATCCTCTTCAGGACCGTTCTCGAGACGGACATCCTCATCAGGACCATCCTCGAAAGTGTCGTGTATTCAACATCTGGACATTCAACTCGAGGAGCTCGTACCTAGTTTACTCGTGGATATCCTCTTCAGGATCGTCCTTAAAAAGACATTCTCTTCAGAATCGTCTGTACAAAGGTATCCTCTTCAGGATCACCTAAGTGCTGTGTACTTAACATCCGGCCATTATAAGCGCTTTGCAAATAACTCGTAAGCCGTGTACTCGACATCCGGTATTGAGAAAGGCCTTGATTTCTATGTCCATGAACAAGGGAAAGACTATCCCTCAAACCTAAACACGTGTTTTATACCTCAATGAGAACTAGACTTGTTCTCGAGTATGCTTTCTTGGATCGATCTATTATGTTATCCAACGCAAATGACTTTATTCTCGATATTCTCGAGTTTACTTTGCGCCTTGTCAATACAGGCCTATTTTTTCTATTATTGTGGTTATTATCCATCTCCTTCTGTTAGACGCCATTTTACTGTATTACCCCTACGAATATGGGGGCTTCTTGATCATGTACTGCCTCAAACTGAGTGGCGGGAATTACAGTCTCATCTAAAGTTTCGGTCTGCCAAATGCCACCCCAAGACTTGGGGGCTCCGAGATGAGTAATGGCTCCGGGGTTATCTATAACGAGGAGCGTTTATATATATGGGAGATTGTAAGGCGTCTGGAAGGTATGTAAAATGTCTAAATCGTTTTGGAGGTGTTTGGGAGGTTGTGTTTTTGAATTTTTCAAGATGATCTTGGGTCTATCTTTCTATGACTTTTCTCGACGGTTTTCAATTAATGCTCGGACTGGAGCATTGTTTCTTCTCACACTAATACATAATACCTCCTCGATTCTTGCTCAACTCTCGAGCAGTGACATTATACATCTACTTGGGTTCGACATGTCAACCTGGTTTATACTTCTCAAACCCGGACTAAGGGTTTTATGCTTTATTTCTTGGGACATGAGAAATGGCAAGTGGGTCGGTTGGGCGGATATAAATAAGCGTAAATGCTTGTGTACCTTCTTCAAGGTCAGATAGTTAATATTCTTGAGTTTGGTCTGGATTTCTACTCGAGAGAATCTTCTCGAGTCTCGCTAACCCTGCATTGACGATATCACATGCGACATTTTCTACGGTATCTTCAGCTCTTCTATCCCTCCTCAATAATTGAGGATCCTTATGGTAACAGTCTCTACTATCTATTTCTATATTATGCTCGAGAGAATCTTCTCGAGTCTCTAGATTTCTTAATAGGAGGTCACATTGGGGCAAGTTCTTGACAAGCTAATTCAATCTCAGACATTCTTTCTCAAACTTATGTCCTTGATGACGAGTATTCTGTCTTTATTTATAATGCTTCTCGATATGCCACCTTGTGGATATTCTCGAGAGTCTGGGTTTATTACCTCTCGCCCAGAAGCATATGTCACAGTTCTTTAGTCGACTCCTCATCTCGACAGTTGGTATATCTTAGCCACTGCTAACGACATATATATTAAGACTAGTGGGAATCTCCGCTACGTTTCTTTCTCGACAACAGATTATATTGGGCCAAGTTCTTGGCATGCAATGCTATCTTATATTTTTTTCTCAAACTTATGTCTTCGACGACGAATGATCACAGTCTCATTACATCTTCTCTCTTGGTTCTCACCACAGTATTGCCAAATATCTCCTTCTCGAGCTCATCTTCTCGAAGTCCTCGAGATTCATGTGTTCGACCTTATTTAGGCATATCTCTTGCCTCTATTCACGATGCTATTTGGTATCACCTCTTAGTTATTATTCTCAAGATTTGGAGTTAATGCTTCTCGATCAGAAGTGCGCATTATAGTCTTCGAGTAGATCCCTTGTTCTGCCGGTTATTAACAACACACCATTGTATATAAAATAGTGGGAATCTCCACTACTTATTCTATAAACCTCTCAAGGAGCAGGGTATTCGCCTCGATATTTCTCTGGTGCAAATTGTGAAAATCGTCACATGATGCTTTCTTGATTAAAAGTCTGGACTAGTGACTTATCTTTCTTAGACTCCGATGTCAATTATTATAAGTGACATGCATATTGAGAAAGGTATGCGCCAATGCTTTTTTTGCTTTAATTTCTCCTCGATACTAACCTTTCGCAGGTTCTCGATTCAAGTCAATTCTTCCCGAACTTGAGAAAACTATATATTTCATATTATCAAACCTATCCTATCTTCAGACTTCGAAGTATAGGCTTGATAAGGGGCACTTGACGAGTCCTAATTATATGACCCACTACTAGGCCGACCCAAGTTCGGTTCATAATTACTTTCCTACCAAGAAAGGGTTTCATAACCTAACTCTATAAATAAGGATCAACCCCTCATATCAAAGGTACGGTCTATGCACCTCAATTTCATACCTCTCTTACAATTACTCTTATTGACTTAAGTATCAGAGAGTCTACCCTCGGGAGACCCCGAGGCTCTGTCTTGCAGGTTTTAGGGTTTCATAGCCGCTATGGCCGCCGGTTCAATTCACTGGAGATATCGGAGCAAATCCATGCTTCGTCAAGAAATCTGGAACTTTAACATTGCTAAACCTCAGGAATATATCTTGTTTGCCACCCTGACTAGCTGATGAACTATTTCTCTCACATTGAAGCATTGTCTTCCTAAATCAGCCACCAGTCCAGTTGCCTCTTTCCCATTGATCTGCATCTCTAGGCTCAAAACCTTGTAGACGTGAACATATTGGCCAACTGCGAGGGTTGTATAATCCGAAAGGGCCACATTTTCCATAGATGTCGCATTAACTTTCTATACTTCGCCAGAGTGTCAAAGGAGTTCCTTCTATTCCATCATAATAAAGCATCTCCTGGAAAGTTCCTGATGAATTCAAAACGTAATATACATCCACTGCATCATTTAAACTATCAAGGACCAGGTTACTTAGGTTCTTCATTCATATGGAGTCCATTCATATATGCATAATACATAAAAGGGATACCAATGAACACAGTACCATTCCACGGACCAATGCGCCAATAAGGTATCCCGTTATTCCAGAAAAACGTTTCTAGAATTTGTTGAGGGCCAAAACCAAGAGAAAAGTTTCCAATGGATGATGGATCAGAAGAACTTTTCCATGAGATCAACCGGCTGTCTTCCTTAACATCTACAGGTATCTTCATTGTCTGGACAAAACTGTCTGTAGGAATCTGAAAACTGTCCCAAATTGATCTTCCATCTGAGTTATCCCTCAAGACTAAGTTCCCTGTATCAAGAAGCTAAGTTATCCCAAATTGATCTTCCATAATGTTTCATTATTCCCATTCAGGACAATAACATTGCCATCATCAGAAATTGCCACAATTCCAGCAGAATCCTTCGAGGGTCCGTCTCTTTTAGCAACCCACATAGCAGTGGATTCAGGATTATTCATCTTGATCCCAACATAGCGATTACTACTAGTGCTGGCAGGACTAAAGAAGCCTAATCTGTAAGTTTTGCCTAATGAAACTATACTTTGTGGGTCTTGAATGGATTCAGAGATTGTAATGGTATCTGTGGCTATGGAATCTTCTGGCCAGAAGAGAGTAAATATCAGAAGCAAAAGCACAAAATTTGATAGTCCTCTGATCATTTTGCAGGATGAATGGGAAGAAGAGTATGCATTTAGTACTCTTGTTTTGCTGCTTCTTATCCTTCCAACTTCATTTCAACACCTCCCAATTAATAATGTCTTACATGAAAGTCCATTTTTTTTCTTTTTTCGAAAATTCACTATATGAAACTTCTGTACTAGAAAAGTCACGAATAGACCCCGCGAGATTTTATTTTTTTTTATTTTTTGAATCTTATTTGTTCTTGGTTTTATTTTGTACTAGTATTAAATTTATTTTCTTCTAAAAAATACCAAAACATAACGTGATAAAATTATATCATAAACTATAACGTAACCCAAATTAAAATGTTTCAATCAAATTTTAAGTATTTTCTAAATTTAATAAAATACTTATGATGTTTCCTAAAAGTGGTGGCTTAATTAATCAATTAAAATGTTATACTTTGTAAAGAAATGATGATGTCTATATAAAGAGTATGAGAATGAGACTGAAAACCTGATTTACAGCATGCATCAGTTTATAAGAAAAATTATTCTTTTTTCTTTTTGATTCGACTTCTCAAATTTCTGACTTGTCCAAAAAAACTCACGGAATCTCAATCTCAACAGTAAAGAAGAAAATGATTCAAGTTTGGTGTCTCAGTTTCATGTCAAAGCTTCCATCCAGGCTTGAGATTGCAGGAAAAATGAGGTTCAAAATAAGAGAAATTAGGCATATAAGACCTTCCCAGAAGGATCATTTTCTGCACTGGAAAATCTCACATTTCTCATTTCACTTCAATCTCTTACAACAAACCTCCAAAGCTTTAATTAGAAATCTGACTTCTCCGAAGATTTTTCACATATTGCATACTCGGGTGTCCATGTATCTTCCGCTGCTTTACAGATTTGGACATTTAGATTGTGACACTTTTCAGTGAAAAGGTACAAAGAAAGGTGGTAGGAGACATATATTTTGACAGTTCCAAATTTCTATCTATCTGCAGAATTGCCGGGTAAGTTTCTGATGATCGTTAGTACAACATTGTTTTGTTTCTTAACTTTCAAAAGAATACTTGGTTGGATGGAAATTTACATAATCTTGTACCCAAGTTTGAAGAAAAAAGGACTCATAAAAGGAACACATCAAAATGATGAACTAATTGTGAGTCCTTTTCTGTCCTAAAGAAATTGATATTTCAAAACCTCTGGCTGACCGCGATCCGGAGTGCAGCATGTATTTCTCATTCTCTCTTTTATCAATCCAAACAGATAGAATAGCACGCGATGTTCTTGACTTTCTGGAGTCTTGGCTAACATCTCAAGTTTTAAAGCCTTGAAAATATGACATACAACATCTAATTAGTTGCAGTTTGTGATTCGTGGAACCTTTACATCTTTTCTGTTTCTTTTACAATGTGCATTTGCAAATGGAATCTGTACAAACATAGTTGATAAGTATACTGTAATTTACCTGTGTTATCTGCCTTGAACGGATGTTATCGTCACGTCATTCACAGAATCCAAACTGAGTTGGGAAAATTCATTGTTGGAAAGACATAATCTTGCAGTATAAGCTGGTAATTTAGGAGGAGGCAGCTCAGAAATTTCACTGTTGAGCATGGAAAGAACAGTAGGGATGTTTGGCCTATCTTTTGCCATTTCTTGCACACAAAGTAGGCCAACATGAATGTATCTCATGACCTCCATTTCCATGCTTGGATCAGATAATGGTGCATATAGCAATTTTATGGCTCCATTATCATTCCACAGTTTCCAGGCCTGAAAATGTCATTTGCATTACAAGAATTGGATACAATAGAAACACTTGATGGAAAAGAGCTTGCCCTTATTAAACAGGAATGCTCGCTGAAACTTACATAACCTATCAGGCTCAGATCATTCTCATCCTTGTAAATGGAGTTTCTTTTGCCACTTACAATCTCCAATAACAGAACACCGAAGCTGTACACATCTGATTTCTCTGAAAATTTACCTCCCATTGCGTATTCCGGGGCCATGTAACCACTGCATCACCATATTTAGGAATAAGGACTAAAATTCGTGTAGCTTGAATCTTGATAACAACTTGTGGCCGGGGAAAAGGAGTTGCTAGGTTTCATTCTAAATATAAAATATAACTAAAGAATGAGCACTTACTATGTCCCTACAACTTTGTTTGTGTTGGCCTGATCCTGGTTGCTTCCAAATATTCTGGCTAAGCCAAAATCTGATATTCTTGGATTCAGCTCGTTATCTAGTAGCACGTTGCTTGCTTTCAGGTCCCGATGAATTATTTTCAATCTTGAATCTCTGTGAAGGTAAAGGAGGCCTCTTCCTATCCCTTCAATGATGAAGGCTCTTTGCCTCCAATCAAGCAACTCAGACTTCTGTGAACCTAAGACAAATGGAAGAAATATGAGTATTCAGCCAACATGGATGGTAATATTGGTAAACATTCCTTGAACATCATAAGTATGCTACTTATATTTTAAGAATATGCAATGAGTCCGTTGCCAAAAAAATTTCATCAATTGTCTACATACCAGAGAGATAAACATCTAAGCTTTTGTTTGGCACGTACTCGTAGATGAGCATTTTCTCTTCGCGTTCAAAACAGCAGCCAAGGAGTCTTACAAGGTTACGGTGTTGTAACTTCGATATGAGAACAACTTCATTAGTAAGCTCCTTTATTCCTTGAGTAGAAGAGCTTGAAAGCCTTTTCACTGCAATTTCCTGACCATTTAACAGCCTTCCCTGAAAATGAACCACATGTCAGTAACATGTTGTTTCCCACTATACAATCAGATGCAAGTTCTTGGGTATTTTCAAAAAAACCTTGTAAACTGGACCAAAACCGCCTTCTCCTAGCTTATTCTTCAAGTCAAAATTACCAGTTGCTTTGGTCAGTGTTTCAAAACTATACAGTGGCAGCTCTTCAATCTTTGGTTGATCTATATTGTCTAGAAGAACTCCCATTCTGGATGCTTTCCCTGCTTAAAAACAGTGATAATTCAGATTCTTCTTTGTTTCGCATTCATCACCATGTTTAAAAACTTCAGTGTGTTACCTCTATATTTAGTCAAGCACTTCCACACAAAGTATGCAGATATGGCAATGAACACAGATCCAATGCTCACTATACTTGCAACCACTGCTTTTTGTTTCCTTTTGCCTTTCACATGATCTGCATTATACAGAAGATGAAGAAATTTCAGGAATATAGGATGCTACTTACGTCTATCAGTTTTTGGAAGAAAAACAGATTAAAGACAGCTTCAAAACTCAAAGCTAAAGTTTCTACTGGATTTATGTTGATGAAAACTGGCATTAAATTTTGACTGTGGTAGAGGCAGCACAGCACGGAAAGACAAATCGTTGAACTAATTACAGAATGTTACCTAGCTCGGAGAAGGTAAGCCGAATGTATAAATCTGCCCCATCGAAAGAGAACTGTTGGATATCAATTATGCCATTACTCCAATGCATACAACCAATGCCTCTATTATAAGAATAAGCTACACATGAGCAATTTTGCATGCACAGGTTACCACATTGTTCTTCAGTATTCGCCTTGAGGAACTCGACTAAATCAGCAAAATCGGGAACCTTTACATTGTCAAACTTTAAGAAACCATCTGGTTTCCCATTGTGAACAGAAGAATTGTTCATGTTGCATTGCAGCATTGCCTTTCTTGAGCATCCGCCAGTCCAGTTTCCTTTGTCCCACTCTTCCTTGTCTGTCGGCTCAAAACCACGCAAACATGTACAAATCGGCTTATGTTGAGGATCACAGATTCCAAAAGGGCCACATTTTCCATACACATCGCATTCACTTCGTAAACTTGTCCATGTTATCTTTGAATTCGCACTTCCCTTGTACAAAATGTTCTCCAGTAAAATCCCGGATGAGCTGAGTACATAGTACATCGATGCCGAATCATTGAAGAATGAATGAGTGAAAAACACAGACCCTTTATCATTAACTAATTCGAATCTATTCTGATATCCAGAACTCATCCCAGGTACTCCAATATATACATTGCCGTTCCATGGACCGCTGCGCCAGTAAGGCTTACTTCCATTCCAAATGAAGAATTCAGGCATCCTTAAAGGGTCAATCCCAAAAGAGAAATTTCCAACTGATGGATCAGTTGGGCTTCTCCAAGAAGTTAGCTTGATATTGTTATTTGTATTCCCACCAAGCCTCATATCTTGCAGAAAAGAATCTGTAGGAATTTGAAAACTTCCCCATAAAATTCTTCCATTGGAGTTTTCTCTCAAAACCAAATCTCCACTGTCCAATAACTGGGCGCTGGAATTTGCAATTGGAAATGAAACATTGGAAGACCAAAGAATCTGTTTTTGCCCATTCATGACTACAAGGTTGCCATCCTCAGAAACTGTTACAAACCCTGATGAATCCCTCAATGGCCGATCTCTGTTTGCAACCCAAATAACGGTTTGAGAAGGGATATTCATCATGACTCCGACATACCGATTATCACTAATGTTTCCCGGGCTGAAAAATCCCAACTTGAATGTCTGCCCAGATGAAACAATTTCTTCAGGGTCCTTAATGGGATGTGCAATTGAAATGGTGTCCGCAGCTGTGCAAAGACTGCAACTTTGCAAAAAGAACAATGCAAACAAGAGAAGCAGCGGCTTCAAGAGTGTCAATTTCAACATTTTCCCCTTATTACCTGACCATGGAGAGAAAACTGTGCTAATTTAACAATCTGACCAAGGAGAAATGCCGGACTTTTCTTCTGGATTTTTCTGCTAACAGTCAACCATATTCTCATAGTTGATGATAGTTGGTGGAAACTTACTTAACTTCATAGTCTTCTGATGTGTAAGGGAAAGCCAATTGTACAAACAAGTTGACATTTTGTAGTAATAATTCTTAACCAATGATCAGTTGGGCGGATAATATACACTAATGTACTGTATATCAAATTAGGGGCCTGTATAAGTTATGAAGGATATTTCGGTCTTGGTTTGTGCTTCAAAAATGTAAAACATCATGGGAGGGTTGAAGGGAAGTAAAATTTAAGGTAAAAAATCTTAGGTTATAAATTTGAAACTTGGATGTCCGTGTTTTCCACTCACTTACATAACTTTTGCCCCTTTTATTGAACCGAAACAAAATAAAAACCAAAAAACGAGATCACTAACCATAGCGGATTACCATCTCCAATCAATTAATTAACCCAAAAATAGAAAGAGATAAAAGTGATAAAGTATGATTAACCCAAAAACAGAAAGAGATAAAAGTGATAAAGTATGATGAATAAGACATAAAGATCACAGTATTGTTTCATTCATTAAGAATATAGGGTGAGTTCGATAAGTTTGCAAAAGTTGAAGGATAACACATGTAATTTATGCAAAAAGTATTTGGCCTATTTTGGTCAAAAATGGTTGCCGGTTCCTCAAATATGATTCTCAATTTGTACACGCCATGGGATGATGATGATTGATGCATAAATGTAAAATATATGGACACCTTTGGAGGAAGCTTAAAGGAAAAAGGCTCCATCAACACTCTTTTGCATTAGATTTTTTGACGAGTGTCGTCTTCATGTTTCTAGTGAACTTTGATTGTAGTAAGAATAAGTCGTCTCACTAATAAGTCGCAATTAATTCATATGTGGAACAAATTTGCTGGGGTACGCTACGCATATGGTTATAGCGCATGACCTAACTGACATCAACAGGTCATAAAGGTCAAAAACTGCAAGTACAGTAAAATGATATTTGATTATCGCCCTAAAAGAGTAGTTATAGTAACATCATTGGAGGATTGGACACTTTGATGAGAGTGTACACTCTCTGAAGAACACATCATTGTTCGGGCATAGGCTGGTAACTTGGGACGAGGCAGCTCCGCAATTTCACTGTTAAGCATCGAAAGAACAGAAGCCATGTTTGGCCTATCGAATCCATACTCTTGCACACACAGCAAGCCAATATGGATGTACCTTGACACCTCCATCAGATTGCGTTCATCGAATATCGTTGGATCAATGAATTTTGCGGTCTCATTTTCATGCCACAGCTTCCAGGCCTGAAAAATGTGGAGATTGCAGGAAAAAGAAAATGATAATTTAGATATGAGAAATTAGGCATCTAAGAGCTGACCAATTTGGATCAGCTGGACTTACATGTCCTACGAGGCTGAGATCATTTTCTGCACTGTAAAAGCTCACATTTCTAATTCCACTTAAAATCTCCAACAGCAAAACTCCAAAGCTATACACATCTGACTTCTCTGAAAATTTTCCTTGCATTGCATATTCGGGGGCCATGTATCCGCTGCACCACATCATATTAGAGTCATTAGATAGTGAAACTATTTAATCTCGAAAATGGACTTATGGAGCAACATCCAGGACAGGAGAAAGCATATGCTTACTATGTCCCAACGATCCTATTTGTATTAGCTTGATCTTGGTTGCCTCCAACAGTTCTTGCTAAGCCAAAATCAGATATCTTCGGATTGAACTCTGCATCCAAGAGGATGTTACTTGTTTTAAGATCTCTATGGATGATTTTCAGTCTCGAATCTCTGTGAAGATAAAGCAAGCCCCTACTAATTCCTTCTATGATGATTTTACGCCTTTTCCAGTCAAGAAAAACTTGCCCGTTTGAGTCTGCATTCAGCCAGAATGAAGAAACAAATGCAAAATTGTTGGTGACTCAAATTAGTATTGACAGAACTATCCTGCTAGATAAAAGGACAGAAGTAACTATTCTCATCTAGTTACTTATTACCAAATAGATATGCATCCAAGCTTTTGTTCGGCATGTACTCATACACGAGCATTTTTCCTTCTCGTTCAGCACAACAGCCAAGGAGTCTAACGAGATTTCTGTGTTGGAGTTTAGAAATAAGCAGGACTTCATTCATAAACTCTTCACTCCCTTGAGTAGACGAGTTTGAAAGACACTTCACGGCTATTTCCTGGCCATTTGTCAATCCCCCCTACAAAATGCACCAGGCATGAAGACCAAGTTTTTGATGGATCGAACAGCAGGCATGCTCTATTTTACAAAACAAAAGGTACCTTATACACTGGACCAAAACCGCCTTTCCCAAGCATATTTCGAGAATGAAAATTATCTGTAGCATTAGCCAATGTGGCATAACTGTAAAGATGAAGTTCTTCATTCCCTGCTAGCATGGTTTTCATCTTCCTTATTTGCGCTGCTTAAAATGCCGAGAACACGGACTATATCAGAGCAAATGTAATCGAGAATTGTGTATAACAGTCTCTTAAAAGTTTTAGCATACCTCTACTTTTGGTGAACCACTTGCAAATGAAATATAAAAATCCAACAAAGGATAAAGACAGCACAATAACTATGCTTGAGATGAGTGCACGTTTGTCCTTTTTGCTTTTTCTATCATCTGCATATCAGGGAAATCATAAAGATTTAAGCATACAAAGATGGAAGTAACTAGAAATTAACCATGAGTTTAACATCATGATTTCCTCTAGGCAGAATATTTAAGAAATGATCAAACATCCAACAAGTTCCACAATAGCAAATACACACCAACTAATCCCTAATTTTCTAAAAGGATGAAAAACATCAGATTATGCACTATATAGATCATGAAATGAATAGTGAATGCTAGTGCAGAGAAATGTGTTACCAAGAACTGAGTAAGCAACACGAACATATAGATCAGATCCATCGAAGGTGAATTGTTGCATATCTATTAAGCCAGCACGCCAGTGCATACAACCAATACCTCTACTGAACACATAGGCTACACAAGTGCAGTTGTTCAAGCATTGGTTGCGACATTCTGCTTCTCTACTTGATGATATCATTAAATCTACCACATATGAGAAATCTGGAACTTTAATGTTGCTAAGCTTTAGAAATCCATCTTGTTTGCCATCTTGATTAGCGACTGAACTATTTCTACCGCATTGAAGCGCTTCCTTTCTTAGGCAGCCACCAGTCCAGTTGCCTCTTCTCCATTCATTCTTATCTCTTGGCTCAAAACCTTGTAAACACAAACAAATTGGCGAATGCCAAGGGTTGCATAATCCAAAAGGGCCACATTTTCCGTAGATATCACACTGACTTTGTAAACTGGACCAAGTTGTATTAGGATTTCCTGTTCCTTCATAATAAACCTTCTCAAGGAAAGTTCCTGAGGAAGTCAAAACGTAATACACATTCATTGAAACATTTAAAACGTCGAATGTCTGGTATGTAGAGGCTGTATTTTCATCCACCATATATATTCCATTCTTATACACATTATTCATGCCAGGAATTCCAATGAAGACATTACCATTCCACGGACCACTGCGCCAATAAAGTTTGCCGCCATTCCAGATAAAGGTTTCAGGAAATCTTGGAGGATCAAAACCAAAAGAGAAGTTTCCAATGGATGGATCGGAGGGGCTTTTCCACGAGGTCAGCCTGTTCTTGTTCTGGACAGTTACACCTAGCCTCATCTTCTTTACAAAGCAGTCAGTAGGATTCTGAAAACTTTCCCATATTGCTCTTCCATCTGAATTATCCCGCAAAACTAAATTCCCAGTGTCGAGAAGCTGGGCGCTAGAATTCGCTGCAAGTTTTGAAACATTGGAAGACCATAATGTTTCCTTCTTCCCGTCCAAGACAACAACATTACCATCATCAGAAATTGCCACAATTCCAGCAGAATCCTTCAAGGGTCTGTCTCTGTTAGCAACCCATATAACAGTCAGTTCAGTAATATTCATCATGATCCCAACATAGCGATAACTAGTGTTTACAGGACTAAAGAAGCCTAATCTGTAAGTTTTGCCAGAGGAAACTATACTTTGTGGGTCTTGAATAGGTTCAGAGATTGTAATGGTATCCATGGCTATGCTACCTTCTAAGAAAAAGAAAGAAAACGTCACAAACAAAAGCTGCAAGTTTGTTGGTCCTCTCATACTCAGAACTGGTGAAAAAAATACAGACAATGCCTTTTGGTATTGTTGCTACTTCTAAACTTCCTACTGCACTTCAACATCTTCTGATTAATTACCTCAAATCTAAGCAACTTTTCTTGATATTTTCTCAAAGGAAAGTCCATCAGGGGATAAGTCAAGAATGTGGCACAAGTACATTCACGCACCAGGATAATCCATTGACTGTGCCAAGTCTTAGTGATGGGACTTATTCAGAATACATTTTCTTCTTTCCCCATCAAGTCAAACTAAGTATACTTTTCAATGGATGCAATAAATGTAAAGCATCATTAGAAAGTCTTAAACATTCATAAACCAAGTTAATTGAGTTGCCCTTTAAACTTTAGGGCAGCCTTAAGGACAACCAATGACAACATTGATAAAAGGAGCATCATGATGAACTAACTATTCCAGTCAGATTGCGGCACTGCCTTTCTTGAGCATCCGTCTGTGGTCCAGTTTCCACTCCCATTCCTCCTTGTTTCTCGGCTCAAAACCTACTTACAAATCGACCTACCTTGAGGATCAGAAATTTGAAAATTGCCACATTTTCCATACAAATCATATTCACTTCATAAACCTTTTTCCATGTGAAAATCGATGTGTACGTTACTGACACACGGACTTCACTGTTAAAATATGTAGTGTAAAAGATAGAAATGTACATGTCAGAATTGGCGTCCACTTAACTGTTTATCTCTCTCTCAAGCCAAAACTTAACAAAAGCCATGGGATGCATGATAAATGCACAGAGCGAAAGCGGATTATTAGTCTCAACTTTTGTATGCAAATCACGTAGTTTAGTATTGGTGAAAACTGAAAATTATGTCTTTCCATTAGTATCTCCAAATCTTATTCATAAGCCACGATTTTACACTATGACATATAAATACAACCGGATGGAGTATGTTTTAACAATCACTGGTTTATGTATCAGATACTGGGACACAGTCATGAAGGATCTCATTTTCAAAAAAGAGATACTACGATATTGTCTTCGCTAAATACTATAGATTAAAAATGGAATATCACACATTAAAAATGGAATCATATATAGTCTCACCTTCAACAGATCATACAAATAAAAGAACTCTCCAATTCATAGCGAAGTGCAATTTGATTATCGCCCTAAAAGAGCTGTTATAGTAACATCATTGTAGGACTGCTCACTTTGCGGGGAATATTCTCTTTCTGAAGAACAAAACATTGTTCCTGCATAAGCTGGGAACTTGGGACGAGCCAGTTTGGTGATTTCACTGTTAAGCATCAGAAGAACAGAAGACATGTTCGGCCTATCTTTTGCATATTCTTGCACACACAGCAGGCCAACGTGGACGTACTTTGAGATCTCCATCTCGTTGTGCTCGTTAAATATTCTTGGATCGATAAATTTTGCTGTCTCATTTTCATGCCACAGCTTCCAGGCCTGAAAATGTTGACATTTTTGGGTTCAGGGGTCAAAAAGGGTGGGTTAGATATGAGAAATGAGGCATTTGGGATCTTCATAAAATGGGAGAAAGTACACTTACATGTCCTATTAGGCTCAGATCATTTTGTGCACTGTAAAAGCTTATATTTCTTGTTCCACTCAAAATCTCCAACAACAAAACTCCAAAGCTGTAGACATCTGACTTCTCTGAAAATTTTCCTTGCATGGCATATTCGGGTGCCATGTATCCGCTGCATCACATCATAGTTGACTCATTATAAATAGTGAACCATTTTAATCTCTCAAAAAAAAAAAACATGAATTATGAAGCACTAAACATAACCCGATGAATACCCATCTATGACAGAAGAAAGCATGAGCTTACAATGTTCCAACGACCCTATTTGTATTTGTTTGATCTTGGTTGCCCCTGCAAACTCTTGCTAAACCAAAATCAGATATCTTTGGATTGAACTCAGCATCCAAGAGGATGTTACTTGCTTTAAGATCTCTATGGATTATCTTCAGCCTTGAGTCTCGGTGAAGATAAAGCAGACCTCTACTTATCCCTTCTATAATGGTTTGGCGTCATTTCCAGTCAAGAAAATCTTGGCCAGTTGAGTCTAATTTCAGCCGCGATGAAGAAAACAAAAGCGAAAGTATTAATGAGTCAAGTTAGGATTGACAAAGCCATACTGCTATCAGTAAAGGACTGACAAGTAAATAAATCTCATCTACTAACCAAATAGATATGAATCCAAGCTTTTGTTTGGCATGTACTCATAGACAAGAATTTTTTCTTCTCGTTCAGCGCAGTAGCCGAGGAGTCTAACAAGATTTCTGTGTTGGAGTTTAGAGATAACCAGAACTTCATTCATAAACTCTTCATTCCCTTGACCAGTAGAATTTGAAAGAGTTTTCACAGCAATTTCCTGTCCATTTGTCAATTGCCCCTGCAAATGAACCATTCATGATGACAGAATAACATGCATGCTCTAAATAAAAAACCTCAAAAAGTACCTTATACACTGGACCAAAGCCACCTTTCCCAAGCATATTGCGAGAATGAAAATTATTTGTTGCATTAGCCAATGGATCATAACTGTAAGGATGAAGTTCTTCATTCTCAGCAAGCAAGGTTCTCATCTTGCTGATTTGAGCTGCTTGAAATTGTGAGAACATGGATTATCATAGAGCCAAAATAATTGAAAAAACACTGTATAAAAGCCTCTTTAATGTTTTACCTCTACTTTTAGTGAACCACTTGCAAATGAAGTACACGAATCCAATAATGGGGAGAGATACTGCAATCACTATGATTGAGATGACTGCATTCTGACCCCTTTTGCTTTTGCCATTATCTGCATACGAGGGAATGCGTCAAGAGTTAAGCATATTTATATGGCATTAACTAGTAGCCATCACTTGATTATCCTGAAGTCCTCCAGGTTTTAAAGCGAAATTATTTATCTCACATCCAGCAGATTTTATGACAGCAAATACACCCACAGTAAGTCTCTTTATCTGGAAAGCATATATGGATCAAATTTTAAGATGTGCAGAATACGTTTCAAGAAGTGAATAGAAAATATTAGTGCAGAGAAATGTATTACCCAGAACAGCGTAAGCAACACGAACATATAGATCCGATCCATCAAAATCGAACTGTTGCATATCTAGTAAGCCACTGCTCCAATGCATACAACCAATACCCCTTCTGAATGCATAGGCTATGCAAGTACAATTGTTCGAGCACTGGTTACCACATTTTTGTTCTGTATTTGAAATCATGGAATCTACCACATAATAGAAATCTGGAACTTTAACATTGCTAAGCTTCAGAAATGTATCTTGTATCCCATCCTGATTAGCAGCTGAACTATTTCTCCCGCATTGAAGCACAGTCTTCCTTAAGCAGCCACCAGTCCAATTGCCTCTATTCCATTGGTCTGTATCTCTAGGCTCGAAACCTTGTAAACAGGAACAAATTGGTGAACTTAGCGGGTTGCATAATCCGAAAGGGCCACATATTCCATAGAAATCACATTGACTTTCTATACTTGACCACATTACCAAAGGATTTCCTTTTATTCCCTCATAATAAAACATCTCCAAGAAAGTTCCTGAGGAATTCAAAACGTAATACACATCCACTGAATCACTTAATTTATCAAGGACCAGGTATGTAGGATCATCATTTGCATCCATATGTAGGCCATTTATATACGCAGTATACATGCCAGGGATTCCGATGAACACAGTACCATTCCACGGACCACTGCGCCAATAAGGTTTCCCGTTATTCCAGACAAAGGTTTCTGGAGTTTGTTTTGGGCCAAAACCCATAGAGAAATTTCCAATGGACGGATCAGGACTTTTCCAGGAGGTCAACAGGCTCTTGCCCTTGACAGTTACACCTAGCTTCATCGTCTGGACAAAACTATCAGTAGGAATCTGAAAACTCTCCCATACTGATCTTCCATCTGCGTTGTCCCTCAAGACTAAGTTCCCAGTTTTGAGAAGCTGAGCACTAGAATTCGCTGCAGGGTTTGAAACATTGGAAGACCATAATGTTTCATTCTTCCCATTCAAGACTACAATATTACCATCATTGGAAATTGCCACAACTCCAGCAGAATCCTTCAAGGGTCTGTCCCTGTTAGCCACCCATATAACAGTCAGTTCAGGAACATTCATTATGATTCCAACATAGCGATTACTAGTATTCTCAGGACTAAAGAAGCCTAATCTGTAAGTTTGGCCCGAGGATACTACACTTTGTGGGTCTTGGATGGGCTTGGTGATTGTAATGGTATCTATTGCTGTGCTATCTTCTGAGCAGAAGATACTAAACATCAGAAACAAAGGCAGGATATTTCTCATTTTCATGGATGAGGGAATTTACTAGGAGTATCTCTTAACTTCCTACTGAGCATTTCAATATCTCCTGAAACCTAGATCATGCAAATTTCTTGGTACTTTCTCAAAACGAAATTTTATATTCAGACAGTCAAGAATGTGGCCTTTTTTAAATACACATGGACAACATCCACCAATTGTTAAATGTCAATGATGTGACTGATTCCGTAAACTTTGATTTTGTTTTCATGAAGTCAAACTCAATATACTTTTATTTGGAACCATACATATAACATATGTGATCAAGCATCATCGGAAAATTTGCACATTCCAGAAGCATGTGAATCCAGTTTCCCTTCAAAACTCAGGGCATCCCAACGAACAACAAATAATGATACTTATACTAGGTATGATGTTTTGTGAGGCTATTAGCATACATTTGACTCCCCCAAAAAAAAAAAAAAATCACAGCCCTGGTGTGAATTTCTTATCAACCTAATGCTTTTGTACTGAACATCTGCACTAGATTTGACGAACTTTTGATGTATGTACAGCAATAGAAGAGAGAAAGATAATTCTGCACACCGTGTTAGAGTTGGATAACTGTTATCGACCTTCAACAACTGTTATACTGAAGTTGTTCATGGAATAAGCACTGTGCGAGGAGCCTGTTCTTTCTGCCGAAGAACATAATCTTTCTGTATACGCAGGGAAATTTGGAGGAGGTAGGACTGCAATTTCACTGTTAAGCATTGAAAGAACAGCAGAGACATCTGGCCTATCATTCGGAAACTCTTGTACACATAGCAGTCCTACATGGACATATCTCAAGATCTCCGTTTCATTGCCTGGATCAGATATCCGTTTATCGATTAATTTTGATGTTTCATTTTCATTCCACAATTTCCAGGCCTGAGGCAGCACAATCATGAATGGAAATTGTTAACTAAGCTTAAGAAGTGGCAAAGGAACATTACAAGTAAAATGTGCAATACGTTAAAAAAATAGAAAAGACTTACATATCGTAGCAGGTTCAGCTCATTCTCCTCAAGATAAAAGGTTGTATTTCTCCTCCCACTTACAATTTCCAATAACAGCACTCCAAGGCTGTATACATCAGACTTCTCTGAAAATCTTCCTTCCATTGCATATTCCGGTGCCATATATCCACTGCATCCCATCATTCTACTAGTTAGATTTCGTATGAGTTATGAGGTTGACTGGGTCAAAGAAAACAGATTCAAGAGCTTTCAAACAACTGTAAAGATGACCAGAGATTTTTCAGAATGTCCTTACTATGTCCCAACAACCCGATTGGTATTGGCTTGATCTTCATCTCCTCCGAAAATTCTTGCCATGCCAAAATCCGATATTTTTGGCTTTAGCTCTTCATCTAAGAGGATGTTGCTTGCTTTCAGATCTCTATGGATAATTTTCAGTCTCGAATCCCGGTGAAGATAAAGAAGGCCTCTGCAGATCCCCTCAATGATGACAACACGTTTTCTCCAGTCAAGTAAATTAGGCTTACTGGGATCTTCAAAGAGTAAAAATTAAATTGATTAATACAAAAATGGAAACAAAATTGAATTCCAGTCAACCAGTTAAAAAAAAAATAATGCAGCTTCATCAACTAACCAAATAGATAGGTGTCCAGGCTTTTGTTTGGCATGTATTCGTAAACTAGCATCTTTTCATCTCTTTCAATGCAGCATCCAAGGAGTCTAACCAGATTACGGTGTTGAAGTTTAGAAATAACCACAACTTCATTCATAAACTCATCAATGCCTTGGCCCGAGGATTTTGCAAGTCTTTTAACTGCAATTTTGTGGCCATCAACCATTTTTCCCTGCAGAAACACATTTTCTCAACTCAGTACGTAGTCCTTGCGCAATTAAAGTACCGTTCAGGATTTTGAATTACCATATAGACCGGGCCGAAACCACCAGTCCCTAGCTTGTTTTCTGACCCAAAGTTGTTAGTGGCATTAGCCAGTGCTTCATAACTATAGAGAGGCAGCTCTTCAAACTTGGCTCTATCAATGGAGCTGCTAAAAGAGCTTTCAACTCTTCTCGCGGATTCAACAAATTGAATTTTATCTTCTTTCTCCTTTCCTGTTAGCAGATAAGTAAATGATAAGCAAGGATGAACTAGATGAACTAATGTGAAATAGAACTTGTGCTACGAGACTTACCTCTGCGCTTTGCCAACCTCTTCCAGCAAATGTATGCAGCAAGAAGGATGAGTAAAGCTGCTAAAGTTACTGAAACTGCAATGACTACCTTTGTATGACCCTTTTTACCTACATGTCAAAGCTCTAAAGATGTTACAAGGTTTTTAGAAGATGGTACTAGGCAGGAGCTATTTTTGGTAAAATGTCATAATTTTAAGGTTGAAGCATACAACACAACCAACATCCTAACATGTGAAGGTTCAACAGTCAAAATTACACTAGTAGATTTAAACAAATTGCGTCAGTGGTCAAATTAACATTCTTTTTCATGATCAAATGCATATCACTGAATAGTTTGTTGAGCAGAGAAATGGTTAATCAAGTAAAACAAAGGAACTATATACTACAGCACTACAGCAGAATTGTTTTACCATGATGGTGTCGTTGTAGAAAGGAATAAGGCACGCGTAGGTGCAGCACCGCGCCGTCATAGGTGAACTGCTGCATATCTATCAAGCTGCCATTCCAGTGCATACAGCCAACGCCAGTGTAATAAGCATAAGCTGTGCATGAACAATCTTGCAGGCAAGAATCACCACATAATTCTTCTGAAACTCCTTCAGTTCGAAACAAGTCTGGAACTTTTATGTTTGAAATGTTGAAGAATCCATCTGACTGATTCCTTCCACACTGCAGCGATTCCTCTCTCTTGCAACCTCCATCCCAAATTTCATTCTTCCATTCCTCATCATCATTAGGAACAAAACCAGGCAAACACTTACAAATTGGCAAAGTCCGAGGATTACAGACTGCAAAAGGGCCACATTTTCCATAGGAATCACATTGAGTTCTTTGACTTGACCATGTAACATTCCAATCCCCATTGGAAAACACCTTTGACTGCAGAGCTCCTGTTGAGTTCAACTTGTAGTAAAACAAATGAGGATTATTCACCGAATTAAAAACATATACAGATCCTTCCACCCGATCCAATCTATTCTGATATACAGCCGCCATGCCTGGTATTCCAATGAAAGCATTACCACTCCATGGCCCACTCCTCCACAGAGGTTTATTACCTTCCCAAACAAAAAACTCGGGAATTAGGGAAGGATTCAAACCTGCTCTGAAACTTCCAACAGATGGATTAGATGAGCTTTTCCATGAAGTTAACTGGAGCTTGTCTTTTGTTCCAGCAGCACTTAGCTTCATCTCCGACACCAAAGAATCACCAAGAATTTGAAAGCTTTCCCATATAGTTCTTCCATTGGAGTCCTTCAAGACCAAATCCCCTGTATCCCAGAGTTGAGCACTTGTATTGCCAACAATATTCGAAACATTAGATGACCATACAATATAATTCTGCCCATCTAAGATCACCAGGTTGCCATCTTCCGAGATTGACAAAACCCCTTTTGAATCTTTTAAGGGTTCATCCCTATTTGCCACCCATATGGTGGTTGTTGTATCAGGAATGTTGAACATGATTCCGACATAACGATCAGTAGAACCTGGAGGACTAAAGAAGCCTAATCTGAAGCTTTGTTTAGAGGAAACTATTGTATCAGAATCTCGAACTGGGCTAGTGATTGTAATGGTGTCTGCAGCTATACAACCTCCTAAACAGCAAGCAAGAAGGAGAAGAAGAAGAAGAAAAAGAAGGGATTTTTTTTGGATTGAGGCTGCTGAAGACAACAACATATTGCAGTCTTCAAAACCCATCAAGATTAGGCCTTCGGAAAACCGAAACAAACTATACTGCTGCTAATGGCAAAAGGATTTGACCAATCATTACACACATTAATGCTTTTCCTAGTCACGTCTTTTTAGAGCTCCAAGAAGAACCCAGAAAGCAAAGCAGGGGTACTACAGAGAGAATAAAGGCAAATGGAGTACTTAATTTTCATTGTCCATTCTGTGGGTTTACAGAATAAACAATTATTTTATACTGATGGCTTGAAATGTCCAAAGAAATACTGTATGTGCGGGTATCCTTTTCATTTGTCCTCGTGCTTCAAATCTTTTTTTCCCTTACGAGTTGATGAATGATGATGTTGACAACAAAAGTACATAAAAATTCACTGGCTGCCGGAATCATGATGAATCGCCCTGCCGCACAGCCACTTCATTTTGACCACATTTCTAATGATCAGTATTCAGTAGTCGTACGTTTGAGAATGAATGAAAGATTATGCCTTGGAATGCACTTCATATCCTTCTAGGCGCCTACCTCGTTTCCAGGTGTTGTACATTGAACCACATACAAGTACTTCTTCTCCGGCCACCCTTTGTTTTAGAGTAAATTGCAAACAACTCCCTCTTCAAGTTTCACTATCTTTTTGTTGGCTTTTTGGACGACACAAACTTAACATTTATATTTATTTTATACCTCCAAATCACCCCTTAATTAAATAATTATACCTTCTCTTTTTTGGTCAATACAAATCAACTGTAACTGTTGATTAGAAAATTGTCTTTAATCTCGGCAACTATTGTATCACTTAAACTTTCATATTTTGATAAGCTAAATAGCGAGAAATATGTAACCCTACCATAGTGGATGGTTTATTACAACTACACCAAATTATAGTTGAATAATTGTTTCCTGAACCTATTCCTCAAGGACTAGAGACAAGTGAGTGGTGATGAGCTACATTATTTTATTTCAGGGATTATCTTGGCAAAAAATGAAACTTGAGGGGGCTGTTTGCAATTGACTCTTTTCTTGACTGGTGTCTATTTTGTCTTTAACAATAAAATTCAAAGATGAGATGCTATATCCCGATGTGTGATAATAAAAACAACTAATTATAGTTCATCGACACTGATCTTCGTCTCCCAAATAAATATTTATTAAAGAATTTCATTTCATTAGCAAATTGGGACAACCCGAGAAAAGGAGTAACCCAAGTGATAAAGGACTAGGCATCCAATCCGGAGATTTTGGGTTCGAAACCCCACGACAGGAAAATATTGCTGCCTATGTTGCCTTTCTTTGCAAGTTGCAGTTAGAAACTCTTTAAGTACCTGATGGATGGCGTTGCAGACGTTCTTTTAATATTGCTGCCTTTCTTTACAAGTTGCAGTTAGGAGATCTTTAAGTACCTGATGGACGTGCGGAAAGAGGCGTTGGTTGTAGGCGTTTTTTTAAGTTGCAGTTAGAAGCTCTTTAAGTACCTGATGGACGTGCGGAAAGAGGCGTTGCAGGCGTGGAGTCGTCCTCCACTAGACTAGGCTAGTAGTAGGTCCCCTTCTCCTAGACTCACACATGTAATAGCTTAGATAAAAAAAAGTATAAAAAAAAGCAACCCGATAAATATAAAAATAGTAAGAAAAGTTTCTTTCAAAAAGTTCAAGTTTCAAGAATGGATTTTTTATTATTATATTCCACGTTAAGGAAATGACTTAATTAATTAAATTTTTTTTGTTCCCACTTACATTGTCCATTCTTTTGTAAACCTATTAGAGAGCCTAACATGTGCTTATGTTCTGTCTCCTTGAAGCTTTTTCTTGTACCTACTTTGAGAATGAGCTCCATTCTCCCCACCACCACCACCATCATCACCGGCCCACCCAAACCGACTAAATAAAAAAAGGAGAAACTTTAAATAAAAGTTAAAACATTATTATTATTTTGTATTACTCTCAAAGAGTAGTAAATCACTAAATTGCGAATAATCACCCATTATACAAAGTTTTCCCATCACCCGAAATACGTGTAAAAATAGTTCGTCTTGTTATAAGATATTCCATCCGGTCCTTAATGTAAGTAATTTTGATTTGTCTTACGTTTCACTTAATACTTATCTTTAATTAACAAAAAATCTTAAAAATATTTCCTAAAAATCATGAAAACACAACGAATGTGAAAACATATTTTTAAGATTTTTTCTTCACTTAACAATACATACTATGTAAAACTTAGAACAAATCAAAATATCTTATATTAAGGACAGGAGGGAGTATATTTTAATGCAGTACATTGGGTAATAAAGTGAACTCTTTTTCCATATTAGTATTGAAGAAGTACCAATTTGTATCTAGTAAATTTCAAGATAGTATCTTTGAATGTAAGTTAAGGAAATCCTTGGTGAGCTTGTTGATATAAGTGGGATGTGTCCGGGTATGACAAAGGAAAGGAAAATGTATGTTCTAACTGAGAAAACGCGGTTTTCTATTTGGAGGAAGTTCTTTCTGTAAAGGGAAACGAGTAGGGTAGTAGCATCTTCCTCGCCACTGGGTGATTGGACTCTTCATTCTATAGGAAAGTGCTTTTGCTTTTGTGCATTACTCTGTTTTTGGTTGTTCTGCTTTTGATAGAATTTTTAGATTATAATGATCCAATCAAAGTTATGTTGTACTTTAAAATACAGAGTATGTGATTCATTTCACATCGGTCAAATTGCTAAAAGTTCTAGTCTCTCTATAGTGTGATTAATGTAATCCTAGTGAATATTTATCCATCGGATTGAACTAGAACTGCTATTGATTGGTGATTTTTCTGAAACCGTAAAGATGTTGATACTCATCGTCACTTTAATTATTATTATTATACTCGTTCTGTTTTTTAGTACTTCACCCACTGAAGAAAAACAAGGACATACAAACAACACATTTTAGATGCTCGCCGGAGGCCGGGCATCAAATTAAATCGGTACGGTCACCGGTGGCGGCCGGAGTCCGCCAGCCGTTTAACCATTTGAGATCATCGTCTCTGGGATCTCTCCTCATGGTGATATAAAACCCATCTGGTTGAACCATCCAAACACACACAGCAGTTTTATGACAATACTCATTCACATGGCCATCATAAGTCACAAAGCTCGCATCTTTCTCAGCCCACCAGAACTCACCCCTGAACGAGGTCGAAGCCCCAATGTTGATCTTAAAAGTCCAATAAAATGATTGGTTTGGATTCAGATATTGGTAGCCCAGATCATCTTCGCTTGACCAGATGTGTAATTTCAGGGGATATACGTTGTCCGGAAGCCAATTGGTGACGTAGCAATGAATCCTCTGTCCCACATCTGAAGGAGTAATGCTAGTACTACTGTTAGTAGCAGCTTCAACCTTGTTAAAACAGAGTACGATGATGATGATGATGATGAACATCAAGCCAAACAACTCCTTATTACAGTTCCTAACTTTGGAACTCATTTTTCGTTTTTGTTATATGTTGAGAGAAAATGCAAGCCTTTGTTATTACTGTTCTTAAGGTTGTAAATTGTAATCTATTTGGAACTGAGAGGTAATAAATAAATCCATGGATGCATTTATTGAATCGGTTGTCTTGTCAACGATTTCACTAGTAACAAAATTGCTGATAACGAAAATGTTGTAACATAGTATTGTTATTTGGGAATTTGTATTCATTTCCATTCGTACATCTTTGTCATTTCATGGAATTCAGGGTCGGTTTTGTCCGAAATATAGATACCATCTTCTCTAAACGACCAGTAACACACCAATTTTTTACAGTAATCATAAGCTAAATCATCGTTGTAAACACTGAAGCCCTGTTCCTTGGAACCCCACCAAAAATGACCGAAAAATTTAGTAACTCCGGGAACTCTTGTTCTAAAATGCCACTGAAAATCATCGTTCACACGGAGATCGTGGTAACCCATATCGTTGTCTCCGGAAAAGATGTGGATTCTCATGAGATTGGTGTTGTCGGGAAGATGATTCGCAACATGCAGATGGTACTTGTCTCCCCAGGCCGAAACATCGGTTGCAGCTTGTTGAGCTTGCGCATAGTAAAGAGATAGAGTGATTAGGCTCAAGTGTAATGCTCTTAAACTCATCTTCTTTCTTGATGGTTTTGTGAAGAGATTTACTCTTTTTCTGCTGCTGGATTTATAAGATTCTCCCGCTTGTCCAGGTTCACCTAATCCAGCGGATTGTCGCAGGTTTTGGTTTGTGATTCTTAAAAGTTTGGAAAAGGTCGTTAACACTTGGCACCAAAAGTCCAAAACGGGAAATAAATGTACAAAAACAGAGCTCAGCAACAATGTCAGTGCTGCCGCCAAGTAGCTGCAGTTGATGCCTACTATATGTAGTTTTATCCCGCACATTCGTTGGCGTCCAACTTCAGAACTTCAATGGTATTTGTCCATTTATTTTAAAAAGTTTTATCCTTCCTTCTCAGTTTTGGATGAAATGATGAAAAATCAAAGCTTGGCGTTTCGAATTTAGAGGCTAACTTGAGGGCATCCAAATATGAGAAGTTATTCGCCACTGATGTTCAACAGGCAGGAGAAGAAACGCCCCCACTTACAGCGATAAAAGAACCAAAAACATAAAAGATGAATGCAATAGATGACATTGAATTCAACGGCGAGCAAATGCAAGCCAACATTAAATTTAGAACCTAAAAGGCAAGGATAAGGCAAGGCCGTGCATCGTAATTTGATACAAGAAAATATGAAAAAGATATTACAACAAGACATTCTACTCTCTACATTTTACATTTTAAACCAGAAAAATTTATCCTCGTTTACCTCCTACTTTAGAAGCACAAGCCAGTAAAGATTAGCAAGAAGCTGTACCATTGAGCGGTGAACACATTGCCTAGTGCCCTTGTTGCAATTAGCCACAGAAAGATATGCCTGAGTGGATTCGAAAACTAAGATTAGCAAAAGCAGCTCAGACCACTTAGTTCATGAACTAAGATATAAAGAAAACATTTACCCCCAAAATTTAAAAAATAAAAAAATAAATAAAGATATCAAGAAAACTTTCATTTCTTGCATATTGAATCAGGCTATAGTCTTAAATATTACTGAGACAAACTAAAAGCAACTTTCATTCAAAATAAAGGAATCAAGTTCCACAACATATAAGAATTGGCAAAATACAGTTGCAGACAAGGAAAAAAATGTAAACACCAAAAGAACATTTACCTGTAATCTGTAAGCATTAAGATCAGGTGGCTTCTTCAGTTCCTTCCAACATCAGAGGGGATGACGAGCCAAAATCAGTTGCTGGTGAGTAGTTAAGCTCGTAGCTGACAGCCTTTGAACCAAATATATTGATTCTTCCCACGCTGGTATAAGCAGCTTCTGCTTCAGCACCCCTCTTAAAAACCACTCTAGCACGGTGAGAATCAAAATCAACTTCAGTCTCAGATTCCTTTATTGCCCCAAACCTCCTGAAAATTTTATTTAAATTTATTTCTGATGGAACAGAGTTCCCTTCTGCAAAGGTTAGAACAAGTTCAGCAGGTAACTCGAGCTTTTTTCTATCAAAATCAGCAGACTTCTCATCCTTTGGTGTCTCATAATTTCCATTAGAGTATCGCTTCCTTGTGCTGCGACCTGTTTTACGGGCTTTATTAGCATCAGAAGCTACCACAAGCTGATGATCTCTTTCACCATTCTCAGTCAAATGCAGCAGTTGCTCCTCGGAATAATTCTGAACTATCCTATCTGTCCAGTAAGAATCATTGACATCATCAAATTCAAATTCTTCTGCAGCTCCAGCAGCAGTATGTTCTGCCTTTCTTTTTCTACCCCCAGCAGATTTCCCAACAGAAGCATTCTTCCTAACAACTGACTTTCTAAATCCAGAGAAGAAAACAATGATGTTACTCAAGAAACTATATGCCTTCTTTGGATCAGAAGCAGCCAATTGGAGTTGTAATAGTATCTTCTCTAAAGAAGAGATTTCTGATGGATCCACAATAAAACCCAGCTGGGATTCCTCACCAGTAGCCTGAGTCGAATCCATTCCTGTTTGTTCATTGATGCCCTTAGAACCCGGAGCAGATCCAGTCAGTTGACTTGCTACTCTACGAATACAATCACCAACCTTAAAGGATGGCTTAGGACTGGAAGATGTTGTAGAAACTTTTGCAGCATAAAAACTTATTCTCTTATCTGATCCATCAGTCAGAGAATCAACCGCTTTTCTTTTCTTCCCTGTAAGATAAACTGACTTACTCGAAGCTTTACCATCTAAATCATCCTCGTCCTCTGGAGAATATTCCATGTCACCCATCAATTCCGACAAACTTTTCTCCTTGCGAGAATGCAAATCATCCTTCTGACTCTGGGTGCGTTTGCGAGGAGAAGGTAGATGTTCATCACCGTTGGAGACAGGCTGATCGGATTCATCGCTCGACTTCAAAGTCTGCACATCTTTGTCAAGCATTGCATCTCTTACCTCAAATGTTGGTGGTTCGCGGTAACCCTTAAAACAACAAAAAGAAGATAGCTGCGCATGAGCACGCACTAGTTCAAGTCGATCAGGCAAAGATACCGGGGACCATGCAAGTGACCTCACATAATGAAGAAGTTTATTGGGGTCAAATGAAGTAGCTCCAGAAGATTTGTCTATACCATATCTTCTGCTTGATTCCTCACGAATCCCAGTATTTTCAACAGTCTGACATTCAATCTTCTCACGTGCATCTTTTGATATGCAAGAGCAGGATAAACCCAACTTAACTCTTCTTGAGACCTCATCTAAAGCGCAGGAAACTGCATTTTGAAATGCTTCTGAGCTACTCTGTTTCTCAATCTGGGAAAAAAAAGGTCCAAAGGGCTTTAATAAAGAAGCATCATTCCAAGCAAAAGTCCGATCTCCAAAATATGCTACCAGAAAAGTGTCTTTCTTGTGATATTTAACAGCCTTATCAGAAGCATCTGCAGGATCAAATATCTGCCCAGGCCACCAAGGATGGCTTCTGACTTTTCCCCAGACTAAATCCGTTATAGAGAATTCTCCTTCATCTGCTGGTCCCAGAAGATATCCAGGTTGACCTTCGCTAACTGAGCTCAGAGTTTTTGTTTTTTTTCCTTCAATCGCCTTTGACTGGTTTATCTCAGAAGTGTTCTCTCCCGTTGTTACATCCTCTTTTTCTTGATCAATCTGACTGCCAACAGTCATATCCTTCTCATCTCCACTCAACTTAATTTCTGGAAGATCAACCTGCATCTCATCATTGCCGTTACTTTCGGGGAAACCACTTTCTTCACCTACTGCAACATCTTTCTCGTCCCCTATTTGAAAATCAATCTGCGAGACAACATCTGCATCATCTTCTAGAATAGAGGCATCCGCTCCGACTGAAACCTCAGAAGGATTATTTCCGATGACACCATCTTCTGCTGGGTCATTTGTGTTGGGACCACAAGCGCTACCATAAATAGCATTGGATATTGGAATCTCGGATTCACTGGAGAGTTCTACCGGACTAACAGCAACACTAGGCTCCCTGGATGCAAGTGAATTTGCTTCAGCCATAGTTTTCTTCTCAGTTCCTTCAGAAACATCTGAGGTATTTGAATGCTCGAATTCTCCGACAGCTCTATTGTCTTCCGAAACTTCAACTCTGATGTTAGCAACTTTCTCTTCAGCAACTGCTTCAATAGCTTGTGTAGCCATTGATGCCTGCTCCTTAAGAGATGCTGAACCTGATTGTACATGTCCCTCACCTCTGACCAACTCTACCGACTTACCAACATCACTGGCATGACTTTCGGTAGCACAGCTTGCAGGTTTTGCAGCATCACTGCAGTCAGGCACCGTTGACTTGCCAGAAAGGTCTTCGACATTTTCTTTGGATCTCAATACTGAATCAGATGCATCCAGAACCATTGCATCATCCTTGAAATCCAGTACTACATCAAGGTCCATTTCGTCCCACTCTCCTCTTTCAACAACAGAAGACTGCACGGTGGATGAGTCTGGAGCAGCAGAAATATCACCATCCTGCTTCGTGGTTGGAAAATCTTCTGACCGGGAGGCCTCATTTTTTCCGTCAGACAATTGGGTTTCAGGCTCAACACCAGAATCCTCAATGGAAACATGTTCGGTAGAAATTTCAACATGTTCTACACCAGAGTTACCACAGTTTCTGGAATTGTCAACAGCTGAGTCATCCTTCATAGGCTCTGCCTTTCCAGAAGCTTCGAAAAATTGATCGTCTACATTATTCTCCATATTTCTAATATCTACAGTCTTACATTCATTAGACTCCACATTTCTAGTATCTTCAGGTATACTTTCATTAGTCTCCATATTTCTAGTATCAGAAATTATGATCTCCTCTGTGGTTACTGATACAACATGCCTCCTAAGAACAGCATACTGCACATTGTCTTTATCCAAAGCTTCGGAAGGTGTCCCGGCCATCTGAAGATCAGAACCCTGATCTTTTTCTGAAGCCTTTAGATTATCCTCACTACCTGGATTCTCATCTGTTGAAGTTGTCTTCTCCTTTTCGAAAGAACCCTCTGGTTCAGGCACTGACAAAGACGATACGCCCCCACCATTAATTCCTGGATTCCATACTTCGTGATCCACAACACCAGTATCCTGTGACGCCTTACCCGGTGCTTTGTCCCCTTCATTGACCGATTCTGAAACCCCAATTACTTGGTCTTTAACCAAGCCTCCACCCTCTTCCCGTGATTCCGATCCCCCAACCACTTGCTCTTCAGCCAAGGCCCCACCCTCTTCCAGTGATTCCGGTCCCCCAACTACTTGCTCTGTAGCCAAGGCCTGAACCTCTTCCCGCTCTCTATCACTCATCTCAACCTTCTCTTCCTCAACTTCTTCCTTCTGAAGAACATCTCCAGAGATTTCATCCTTTTCACCTGGAGTATCCCTAGACCCTTCAACCCCAGTTTCAGTGCTACCCTCCAAATCCCCCGCTTGATGTGACCCAACATCACCCTCTACCATACCTTCATTCTCAAAAGATTCCACGCCTCCCTCAAAACCCTCTTTATCTTCATCATTACTACACACCCCATCAACGAAAAGGTCAGAATCTATCATTATATCATCTCCATGTTCCCCATCATAAGACCCCTCAACCTCTCCCTCTATACTCTCCAACAGGGATTCATCACCACTAGGAGGTACAGTTGCAGTCATAACAGAAGATTCGACAACACTAGCTACTGAACCCCCATCACCAAGCTCATCCATAGAACACCAAATCTGAGTTAAAGATTCCAAATTTATCAAAAAAAGAACTAAACTTTACGTCAAGAAACACAACCAACAAATTTATTTTAAACCCTAATTACAACCCCCGAATCTGACAAGAAATCAAGTCATTGCAAGAAAAAATGAAGTACTAGGGGAAAAAAACGCAAGAACCCATAATTCAGCTGAAAGAATCAAGTAAGATAACAGTAGAGTAGTACCTTTTCACGGGCTGGTTCCGAAGATTGAAAGCTTTTTTGAGTTCTTGTAAAGGGTTTTTTTTTTTTTTCTTTTTAAGGGAAGAGAAGAAGAATGATGTGTCGATGGGAAGGAAGACTTTGTAGTCTCTCTCTGCGCTTACTACTACTTAGTAGTGTCAAAATAAACATATATACAGCGACACAAGTATACACTGCGGACTTTTACTCAGTTAAAGAGGTAAAAAGTTAAAAAGAATTTTAAACCGTAAAAAGCCATTAGAGGCGATTTCCTTTCGTCCTAGTATGTTTCCGATTTTTAAAAAAGGAATAAATAAAGATTTTTAATTCCCTTTTCATTTCCTAATATAGCCTAATAAATCAAGTGTTACAGCACCTTGACATTGACCCAAAGATATCATACTCTAGTCTCGATTTTTAATTTATAAAAAATATGATGATTTTTTTTTATGAATAATTTGTTGTCTGTATAACTTTTTATTTTATGGAATTTTCCTTAAGAATATCAAATGTAACGCAGATACTACATTATTAGTTATTACGAGTTGTATTAACTCTATTTGAAGAAATTTTTTTTTCTTTTTTCTATCTCTATTTGAAAAAAAGTTTTTTTATAGAGTAAAATGTGGAAATGGTCCCTTACATTTGCCCTTACTTGAATTTACATCCCTGACATTAAGATTTCAATATCGTGGTCCCAAACATTATGTTTTCACACTTTTTGGTCGTTTTTCATTTTGACCACATTTAGTCAACTCGATGTTGGCCGTTGACTTCTTAGGGTCGAGTATTTTCATCCTTTCACGTAATTTGACCTTCCATCAAATTAAAATCATTAAAAATATTAAAAATTTATATTTTAAATTATTTAAATAATATTTATTAATTTAAAATATTATTATAATATTTTAAAATTTATATTTTTTAAAAAATAGTTTTTCATTTATCATTTAGCTTAGGTGAAAAGTAAATAGTAATTATTCTATATTTTAACCTCGGACTCACAGTAAATTTATAATTTTACCGGACTACAATGAAAATTTTAAATTTAAAATTTTTAAAAAAATAAAAAAAATTTAAATTCGGGTTAAATTAAATAATTTTTAGGGTTAAAAACCCGAATTTAAAATTTTTTTTATTTTTTTTAAATTTCAAATTTAAATTTTTCACTGTAACCCGGTAAAATTATAAATTTACTGTGGGTCTGAGTTTAAAATGTAGAATAATTACTGTTTATTTTTCAACTAAGATAAATGGTAAATGAAAAAACTATTTTTTAAAAAATATAAATTTTAAAATATTATAATAATATTTTAAATTAATAAATACTATTTAAATAATTTAAAATATGAATTTTTTAATATTTTTAATGATTTTAATTTGATGGAAGGTCAAATTACGTGAAAGGACGAAAATAACCCAGACCCCGGCAAGTCAACGGCCGGTCAACATCGAGTTGGACGGAAATGTGGTCGAAACAGTGAAATGGGACCAAAAAATTTTGAAAACATAATGTTTGGGATTACGATATGGAAATATTAATGTAAGGGACGTAAATTCAAGTAAGGGCAAATGTAAAAGACCATTTCAACATTTTACTCTTTTTTATAAGATCAAATTAAATTTGACTAATTGAGTTGTCGCCGAATAAATATTACATTAAAATCGATTCGATAGTAATTCTTCAAGTGAAAAATCAACGGCAAGTAGTAGAGCATTTGCATTGACGCAAGAAATGAGTATACTTGCCACAACTGTAGTTTTGTCGTCTACACTGCGACTTACAATTCTTAGGCAACCAGAAAGTACCCTTGTAATATTTTGATGGATGTGGAAATCTGATTCCACCACCACCGTCTCTTGATGAGATATATGAAGAGGAGGAGGATCAATATGCCATCTTAATCGTACTTCTCAACGTCCGTCGCAAAGCGAGATACACTAGTTGAAGAAAAGTTTATATTACCTTCTCAGTAATAATCAAATTTGAGTACTAAGTTAGCTAGCCTTTCATACTTGTAAAATTTGTCAATAGAGGGACGCTCAACCATAGTAAATATCTTCATCTAACCAGACGCAATACAAAAGTTTATTTAAAACGAACAACTATCGAGTTTGATAATGGTTTCTTTTCTTTTTTTTTTTTTTACTTCTTAGTACTCCTTGATTCATTGGTACCAATAATGCAAATTAATTTTATGGATTTTTTCGTCATGTCATCAAAGCTGACGAAGATAGAAATTGATGGTTTTGTATCATTAACATTCTCTGAAAATAATTTAGTAAATTATTGGATCTACCCTCCATTACCAATATTAAAGTTTTTTTTTTTTTTTGGTACTAAGAAAGAGGTAAATGCCTGGAACTCTAGATTATTACAACATGTTGGTGAGACACACCAACATTGTCATGATGAAGAAAAAAAGTTGGACGGCTATGCAAAAAAATTATTCAAAGTTTAGATATTGAGTTTTATAATATTTATTATTATCACAACCCCACTACAAAATTAGATAATATGCAAATATATATATGTATATATTCAAAAAATAGATATTGGGTTTTATAATATTTATTAATGATTTTTTTATTAATATATTTTTACAAATATAAACTCCAAAAAGTTTAATTGTTATTAAATTTTACTTCGTCGACTTACTCCTGAGTCGAAAATACTGATAAATGATATCAGAACCAAAGATTGGTTAAGCCTAGTGGATTATCTAGATTTTGGGAGTCGTGCACCTAGGTTGACCCATAAAATTCGGTATTCCAGAAGTTGCCGTCTTTCCGACTTTGGAAAGAGGCGGGTTAGTTGCGATTACAACTAAAATGAAATATGAAAGTAATAGATTAGGTCCCAAAACCTATTATTTTGAGATTTTAGATAGATGTGGGTTCCAACTTATTTATTGGGTTCGATATTGGAATTCATTGGATATCATATCCTGGTTAAATTCTGCCAAAATCACTTTTCCATGTTTTGAACATTTTTTTTTTTCTTTTTGGAATTTTCAATTTCATTTTTAGAAGAAAAAATGGTACTAGTAAAGACTACTGACACAATCCGCAGCTTAGTTAGTGCAAAGATCACTAGCACCTATCTTCGATCTCCCCGTTACCAAGAGAGTGTACTTCCCTTTGACCCTTTGAAGAGCAAATATTTTGCCGCACGCTTGGAGTTGAGATAGAACTTTGAAAGAAAATATACACTTAAAATTCATCAATTGTATGACCAAAAAATAGACAGCTCGACGCGTCACAGAACAAGCCTGAAAGATCACCCAAGCTAAAAAAGAGACCGTTTGGGTAGAGTATAAATAATTAGACCAAAGCAACCCACCAAATTCAGGGCGGTTGTGAGTTAAGAACAAGTAAAACTCCAACTGCCCTATTATGGTCTCCAAATGATACTGTCACCTGAAATTTGTCTGCATCCCATATCCATAGGTGACATAGTCCATATAGATTATGGGTTGATCCATGATCATGCTCCCATTAGATACACAGTTGAGTCTGGATTTACAGAATGAAGGGACAAAAATATATAAATTATATTTAGCAGAGGCGAAAATATACAAATCTAGAAATTTATACTAAATTTTTAGAAGGGTCTTTGGGAAAAAAAATTGGCTAGAAAAAGGGTCTATACTAATCTGCTGGTCCCCTAGCTCCGCCATTGCATAGTTACTAGACGCGATATAAGCTGTAGTTTCACTGTATGGTATTATTACATCAATAAATTTAACAGAAACGTTAAAAAAAAATGTATTTCCCTTACAATACATTAGTGCTTTTTTCCCCAAAGTATCGGCGCGTACCCATTATTTATTTGTCTTAGTGGTTTGTATAATCTGTACTTCTCAAACACATGCCAAACAAAAGTTGTTGAAATACATTTTCTCAAACCAACACGCTATATGCTTAATTTTGGTGAACAAATAGCAGCTTCAAGAGTGAGAGAAGAAGAATGCAATGAATTGAGTAAAGTGCTTCCGTTTGTCTTTTTTATTTGAACATTAACATCCTTCATTTAGTATGTGAAGATTTGAATTTACGTTTGATGGAGGACCAATATGACAAGTTTTCTCATAAGATATGAGAGAAAAATTACATAAAATTTTGGTTACAACATTTTTTCTTTTCTTTTTTGGTTGGGTTCTCAAGTGAGATCGTAGTACACATTGATACATGTTAGAGGAGAGAATGGAATGAATGAATCTAATTAGATCCTAATATTTAAAAAGAAAAAAAAATAAGCTAAAAAAATTTTTAGGAAGAAGAACCACTGCTGCAGAGTGATAAAAATAATACTGTTGTTCTGATCAGTAGCCAGCAACTTCCATGTTATTGTTGCCTCTAACTTTCTCTTGTTGATCTTTTGTTTAGAGCTTCAACTTCAGCCCACCGTATCTGTTATTCCACAGCTAGGCACACTGCATACACATATAAATATGTATCTATCGTCAGTTGAAATATCGCCGCATTTTTCGTCCCAAAATAAGTATTCTGTTTGTTAGTGTAATTCATTTACGGATGAATAAAGTATATATTATCAAGTAGGAGAACGCATGCAACTTGCAAATTTTTAATAATACGTGCTGTACAAAAAGCATCATCAGATTTCCAGATCATCCCACATGATCTGATCACGTTCAGGTCAGGCCCTCCATACCATACCATATGATCATGTGCAGAAAAGGGTTATGAAATGATGCTAAGTATTTGACTAATCATTAACTAGAGAGGATATGGGGAAAGTGATTAGAGTGGATGTGGTTAAATTTTTAAAATTTCTATTATATAAAAAACAAAAAACATAAAAGTTACATTGAATGCAACTTAACAAAGAACAAACTCGTCTATTTGTATGAATAATTGTCAAGTTTGTTAATTTAATATTGATGACAGATCAAAGTGAAAAATATAATGAATACAATGTAAGGAGAATACTTTATTCGTTTCAGAAAAATAATCTATTTAGGTCTAACGCGAGAATGTATCATATATTCATTATGTAAAGCCATAGAGGTACCAACCTGGGTTGGGAGCAAAGGAGGTGGGCTTGGACAACAAAGCAGGAGCAGAAGCAACTGGGCCAGGTGTAGTTGGGGAGTAGAGTTGAGCAGGGAGGCCCATAGCCTGGGATTGATGAAAATGATAGAGAGGATACATAGGCATCAATGCATTTGTCCCCATCATTGGTTGACCAGGATACACTTGTGAGAAATGTCCATTCATGTATGACCCTCCTGTGTAGCCTAGTTTCTGTTGTACCATCAATTCCAAATATTATTTTATTAGATCATGGATCCTATCTGCATTTTAATGAGCATTAATCCCAAATTTTTGTTCATTTGAAATCGATTTGGGGAGATCCAAAAACTTACATGGTTGTAAGTCATGTCTGTTGCAATGTAGGCGGGTGAGTATCTGCAATATGTTCACAAACGATAAAAGAACAATTAGACAAGAATCATCTGTATCGCTTTTAGTGTCTATATATCATAAGCATATTTATGTATTGTTGCAAATATCGTTACGTCGATATCATCTGAAGCACGTAACAACAATTGACAAACAACAATTGAACTAAAATACGACAAAAAAAAGTGAACTAATTCTCTGATAGATCTCGTGACGAACATACCCAAAGAAGGGAATAGCTTGATGGTGCTGGTGATGATGGTGAGGAAATGGCGCAGCAGGGGCGGGGGCAGGTGCCCCAGCTGGATAGTACCATTGCACGTGACTCGCAGGTGCTGCTGTGTTTGGTACCCTTGGTCCAACTCCTACCATATTATTGTTGTTGTTGCCACCTTCAAAATATTCAGCAAAATCAATACACCAGATCCCACATCCACCTAGTTTCAAACTTACAAAGCACCTTCTCTTAAATCAATCAATTTCACCGAATTGACCATCTCAAACAGAAAGCCAAAATTAAAAGATGTGTGTGTGTGTTTTGTTGCAATTATCAATCATAATCATGGACCGGCTAAATTTTTAATAGTACTTCATCTGTTCTAAAATGACTAATTGTCATATTTGAATTTTCAATTTTAGCATAATTTGTACTAAAAATAAAATTTTAACTGGGCAATCATTTCAAACTAAGTGTAAATCCAAACTATACAATCATTTTCGGAGCAAAATGATTGAGCACAATGCATATAAGAATGTAATGTAGCTTACCTTGAATAGTAGTGGTGGGAGGTGGAGGAGGAGGGAGGTTAGAGGAGGAGGACCTGGGGCGCCGGGCGCCAAGAGAAGCCAGATTACAGTTAGCACGGCGGCCATTGATGATTGGGGTGGCATCCTCACAAGCTTTCTTAGCTGCCTCGGGTTCCTTAAATGTCACCTATGTATATTCATAACCATGTATAAGTAAGTACTCTTGAATTAAATTCATATGATCGACGATGGAAATTCTGTTCTGTTTAGCGAGGTTTAAGGTAGAACTTACAAAGCCATAACCCTTGGATCGGCCGGTGACTTTGTCGGAGATGATGACAGCCTCCAAGATCTCACCGTACTTCTGGAAGTGATCCCGCATTGCTTCTTTCTGAGTCTCCCACGCTAATCCCCCAACAAACACTTTGGTCAATGTTGTGTCTCCCATGGTGTGACCATTATTCCCACTGCTTATGTTGTTGTTGTTGCCCGTCATCATCGTCATTGCTGTCTGCTGGTTTCTTTGTATTTCCCAAAGAACTTAACTAAAGATCGATCTTCTACTGAATGTCTCTATATGCAATGTACGTTACAAAATCAAATCTATACAGAGCCCTCTATAGTTTTCCACAGGATTAGTGTCTGCACGCACTTATTGGCAATGAATGTACTTGATTGAAGAGGGAAAGGGAGTGTGAATACTATTAGGTTGAAGAAAGGATGGAAGAAGAAGGAGAAGAAGGCCAGAAATGGAGAGGAGGGAAGGAAAGAATATATATAAGGAAAGTGTAAGAGAGTGTCAGCCGGATTAATTGGTCAAATTAGGAATTAAAAAACACAAGCAAGATAATGAAAACTGAAGAAGGTGGGGAGTGTGATTGAGGAGAATCTGTTTAATTTGGAGGGGGTGAATTGGATGATGAAAATGGGTGTTGGGGAAGAAGAATATAGTAATATGGGGTGGGAGGACCAAAACAAGGTGACAGACAGAAGGGCAGAGTCGCAGAGACAGATAGGAGGACTACTACTACTACTACTACTACTACTACTTCTCTTTTCTTTGGGGAAGGACTGAGAGGCCATCAACCCACAACGTGCTCCCCCCTTTTTTGAGTATTTTTTTTCATCTCTTCTTTCTCTACCTGGCTGGATTGTTCATTACTGTGTGACTGCGTGCTTTTTTTTTCTCCTCCTTTTCGTAATAATAAAAAAAAATATGCCTTTCCCATTTTTTTTTTTTTTAAATTGTAAAAGCTGCAGTATAACCCTCTTATCGAATCGGTCGTTTTTCTCTGCCATCGCGGATTGTGCATCCATTTCTCTCTACTAGTTAATGTATGTATATGTATATGTTTGCGTATGTACGCTTACTGTACGTACTTCCCCCTCTTCATTTTCATCGGAGTTACCGCCAAGGAAGACGGCAGTTACTCCCTTCTTATTCTCCCTGTTTCATTTTACTACTCATCCGGTTTTAAAAGAAATCGTTGGAAAAGTAAATCCACTCTTTTTTTTTTTTTAGGTTTATGGTGGAATAATTTATAAAAAATATAGTAGTATTTTCCTTCATTTTGAATGTTTTGTTTGATTATTAGTACTTCTATTTTCCTTCCAGAAATCCCATTATTTGCTTTTATGTTTTTCCTTCTCGAACGAACTTGAGTCAAAGATCAGTCAATGCCAGATTCACTAACGAACAGCATTTTCAAGGATTTGTGGTCCCAGACTCCCAACAGGATTTGTGTTTGCAATTTATAAACACTTCTTTTTTTTTTTTTACATAAAAACTACGGGTATAACACTTTTTTCTTTTTTTTTTTGGGTTTAACTACTGGTGTATAACACGTAATCACTAAATGGAACGATGATCCTCCTCCTGTATAATTTGACGCTATGCAAATCTTTGATATTATTGCACCCTCTTGGCTAATGGCTATAGAATAGATAAAATTTCTTTGATTTCTATTCCTCCGGTCTTTATTATATAAGATATTTTAATTTGTCCTAAATTTTAACTATGTTGTTCTTTTAATTGACAAATAAAACTTTAAAACTGTATTTTCAAATTTATTGTACTCTCCCATTTGTTGAAAAATATTTTTAAGGTTTTATTATCACTTAGAAGAACATACTAGTTAAAATTTTAAGCAAATCAAAATATCTTATAGTAAGGATTTGAGGAAGTATATATTTGGAATCTGATCAATCTATCTTAATATTTCCTCCGTCCTGAAATTATTGTTCAGATTGAGTTTTCATTTCTAGTAGTACAAATTATGCTAAAAGTGAAAACACAAACTAAACAATAATTTTGAGACAGAAGGAGTACAAAATTTTTTCTTAGCGTAAATATTATGGTTCAACAATGATCATCTTATTTTGAAGGATCAATCTGATCCAAATCAGAATTTAGTTATTGTTTCCAACACAATATAACAAAGGAAGGGAAATGGTGGAAACAGGAACGTGGGTAACACCGCACGCAGAGAGAATTCACGTTTTCATAGACGTACGTTTTTTGGAGTGTACGTCTCTCCCTGACAGCCGTACCAAAAAAGACCAAAGACAAGTCATGTTTTTTCCAGTACTTACTTACTTATTACCTGCCGGTAACGGTGACCATCTGTCCGAACTGGAGAATTTCTAGCACTGAATTTTGTGATGCTTTTCACTACGACTCAATATAGATTCGGAACACACAGAGTTGAGTTGGCCACGGTCAAAAAAAAAAAAAAAAAAAAAAAACGAATATTTTCACATTTTCCTATCTTTCCAGCAAAGTCCTGACAGTTGTATCAGATTCACTCCCAGTTTTTCATATCTCCACCTCTGATAAAACTCCCTCATTTATAGTTTTTTTTCTTTTCTTTCAGAAAGGTGGATAAACTATAAGAATAAAAAGGGAAAAAAATAAAAAAATAAAAACATGTACCTTTTCTTTACGCTTTTTAAGAAATTTCTGTTAGGATGTAAGAAAAAAAATCCAAATATTCCTTTAAAAAAAAAAAAAAGAAAAAATCTTTCTGAGGCAATTTAATATGATAATATGAAAAAATATCGTTGTAAAATTAGTGTAGCGAAAGTTTATATGAAAATCGTTTACTACCTCAGCACCAATTGTTACTTCGTTGCGCATTTTGGTGTATGTCAGTGTTTTAATTGAGTACGTATATCCTATTATTTTCTCATTAAAACAATACTGGCTCTTCCTTCTCAATTTGTGGTATATTTCGCCGAACCGAAAAAATAATTATCATATTTATTGTTCTATACAGCAGTATGTTCGTTTTATCAGAATATGTTGTTATACACAAACTGTATTTAAACTAATTGAATTATTAAAATGGAACGAAAATGAAAATTAAAAATAAAAAAAAAATGAATAAGAGCTTCAGTGAGTCTGATCCGGGTTCCCCACTCAGACAAAATGCTACTAATTCCCTGACCTGACTGCTTCTATGTACAACGTGGCCAGCTGTATCCCAAACAAGGGGCTGGGGAGAAGGGAGGGGCACCATTGTAAAATCATTATTAGCCCTACAACTTCGGTTAACTTTGTTCCAATTGACCAAACATCTTTAACCAAGGTGGATCAGTTTTGACTCTCTTTTTAAGGTTTCCGGGAATTTTGTGTTAAGCGTTTGCCTTGTGTCGGTTTAAGCTCTTCTTACCTACATAGAATGTGTTGTCAGTTGTGCTTACACTGTAAAGTTATGATCATTCTTATATTCACTCCGTCTCATAATTATTGTCCAGTTTGAATTTTTATTTTTAGTTCAAATTGTACTGAAAGTGAAATCTCAAACTGGACTATAATTTTGAGACGGAGAGAGTATTAGACTATTCAAATGAGACATTTAAGTATATTTTTCTAAGAAACAAAATGAGAAAGAAACTATGGATACTGCCATACTGACTCCATAGTCATTTCACAATTTACAGATTAAGGCACTAATCAAGGCAAAATAAATGGGGGAAGAACCCTACATAAAGAGCATTATTACAACTAGCCAGTTGTAGATTTGTAGTAGTGTGTGTGTGTGTGTGTGTGTGTGTGTGTGTGAGTTTTGAGTTTTTTTTGGGACTGAATTGAGCTGGCAAATCTCATGGGGGGGAGTAAGGCAACAAATGATGGAGAGGATGTGGGTTTTGTGTTGTGGCCTTATGGGGAGAGAAGAATAGAATAGAATGCCAAAAAAGAAAAGAAAAGAGGGACAACTGTACAACAACATTCTCCCCTCCCCTGCTTGCTTGCTGACTAAAACAACATATATATTGTTGTGTACAATACAATTGTTGTTACCACTTACCACCACACTATTTCAACTAAATTTTTTGATTGAATTAATTGATTATCATGAACATCATTATCATCCCTCACGTGCATTCATATCTTAAAACACATCACCATTTCAACATAGCAAGAGTGTCATCGCAAGTTCTTTTATCCTTTTCTTTTTCCATTTGATAACCAACGAATTATTACTTGAAAGGAGTGTATACTTTCACCCTGATAATTGTTCGGTTTCCCCTTCACCTACTGCAATTCTATAGAATAAGGCAATGAGCCAATTTACTTTTGCAAGTTCCCTTTCTGTGTAATGTAAGTTTATAATCGATTGAGTAAGAATACTTTCAAATTGTAAGTCAAAGAAAAAGAAGAAGATACAAACTAGATTTTAGAGTCAACAACTATCAGCTTTTGACAATTACGACCCTTATCAGTTGTCAATCTATATACATTAAGGACCCGGGACATTAGACTTTTGTATACAATGGTCATTTTTATTTTCCTCATTTTGTGCATCAGACTGTAAAATTGTTACCTTTACATTTTTCCATACCTAGTACCGGTTGTCTTCATTTTGATGAAGCTAACTGGTTAAACCCATATTCAGTGTCAATTTGTTGACTAAATAGGGTTCAATTCTCCCCAAACACCACCAGGGAGGAATAGGCGCAGATCTCATCCTAGTGGGGGATGATGAATCAAGCACACCACCATTAAATGCTGCTTGATTTCCTTGATTGAAATCCATGTACAGTGAGTACATCAATCAACATCCAACCTCGTATAACTGCGGCCAAATCATGTGCACAAAACACACAATTAAATGCTATTTAACGCCATCAATCATGGAGGCACCTTCCACATCTCTATCATGGCACCACCAAAACATATATGCCAAGCAGAAAACCACACAACTCTTTTTTGTCCCATACTACTTCTCGCTTTCCAGGGGAAGAAGCTTAAGTAGTGAGAAATTCGGTAGTGCTTCAGCTATATTAGGCGATGACTCCAAAATCCACCCTGCAGGGAAATGGCTTCACGGAACATGCAGTCGAAACCAAAGAATAAGAACCTAAAGATTTCAGATGTAGAAACTGGAAGCACCATCCTACATACCAATGTAAGGAAAAGCCCCTGAAATGGTTGAAATATCAACCAAAAATAATTTGGAGTTTGCGTCATGATCCCAAGTCAAATCCTTTCTAAAAATTCTGATACATAACTCAAAGAGCAAATGTACAAACCATGATACCACTATTATGTGAATAAGTTTAAGCAGCTACAGTTCAAAGTTTTCTTAAAGACAAAATGTCCATACAAGCTTGAGAAGTTACTACTTCATTATCCACATGAGCTCCCATGATTTTTTTTTGTTGCTGAAAGCGGTGAAGAAGCAGCAGGATATTCGCTTATCGTACCATGCCCAGAAGGTTGTTACAATTGCTTCCACCACTACAAACATCCAAAGCAGCCAATATAAAATCTCTAACACAGAGCAAAATGCACTCCCACATATCCTCAAAAGAAGATGCAGGGATTAGGTGGGGAAGTTAAATGAAAGATGGGGCGAAGATAAGGAATGTTGAGAACAGAAAATCCAACTGAAAACAAAAGCAGGTGTCCCTTAAAATCTTGTTTTGTTAGCATGGTAATATACAAGAAGGCATGCTGAAGACGAAGCACTTATATTAATATTTTTCTTTTGAAAGCAAAGCTGAAGCTGCTTGTCAAGCAAAAGAAACAACCCAGACCAGCTTCTACAAATTCATGTATCATACATCTGTTGGGGCAAAGATGGGCCAAAAATAGATTAAAGGTTTAAGTCTTCATGTATAATTAACTACATTGCATGCATCAGTATTCTTCATCTTTCAAACACCAAAATATTTACATTACAGGAGAGAAACCTGAGTCAATTCTTGAACTGTTCGTGATGAAACATGATTTTTAAAATGCGGGTAATAAAGAAAAGAAAGTTTCACAGAATCCACCAAGAAAATTAGGATATATGACGCAAAAAAACCCTAGAAGATGCACCTAGAACAATTAGAATACATGCAATAGCGGTCATGCCTTCTCCAGTATTGAACAACTAACAGAATCAACATGAGAGATTACAGCTTCTATAAATACAACTCATGCTTACATATAACTCAATCATCACGTGTATATATGCTTCCACTAAAAGCACAACCAGAAGATCAAAACATGCAGAAAATATTTGTTTGTTATGTGGAAATTGTGAAGATAAAAGGTCATCCACAAAAGAGGGACCTAAGATTGAAATCTGCTAAGTAGCAGAAGAGATGAGCAACCACCAAAAAGGATTGTTGATTGAAATCTTTAATAAGTCCTTCCTATTGAGTAAGTCCTTTTCTAGTTAAGAAGCAAGTATCCTTGATATCAATGATAAAGTACAGATATATAAAGGTTAAATGTACTTATTTCTGACAGAACATCTATATAAGTTACAATGATAAAGTTCAGATCTATTGATATCCGCATCAGGTTTAAAAGTACTGAAGAAGAAATATGTACTCACACACAATCAAGCGCCCCCAACAGAAGAAGAAATATGTATTAACACACAAACTGTAAACAAGTTAGTTGAGCGATCTATAACCACGTCTAACTAGCTCTTAGTGCATGCAAAGGTTCAGAAGATATCGGTTTTAATAAGGGCAAGGTTAAGAGAAAAACATTAACGTTTTTTAAGAAAGTTCACATTTTGGAAAGTAAGAGAAAAGAAAACGGCAACAGACCATCATTTAGCTGGCTAACTTAAAAACGACCACAGTTAGAGAGAGTAACCCCATGCAGAGTTATTTCAACAATTATGTCAGAGGCTGGATTTTAAATCTTATTCCAAGTAGATTCCAAGATTGCATAAGCATCTGAATGAGTTACAATAACAAAAGAACTTCGAGAAAGCTCTACCAGCAATATCAGCAAAAAATATATGCTCTCCTACAACATTACAACCAAACTAATACTAACACACACATACAGAGAAATAAAACCGCATAGATTCTGGCAACAAAATGAACCAAAATGAACCATTTTCAAAGAGGCTTGTAGTCATGCATACTTTTCTAATAGATGACACCAAAAAGGTAACAAGGATGGTGACATGTGTTTTAACTTCCATTCCTTCCTGCCAAACTCAGAACAAACAAAGTACAGAGAAAATAGGAGACTCACCAAGTTTTAAACTTGAGAATTTGCATAGTTTAAGCCATGCGCAAAAGAACCTTGATGAACAAACTGCAAAAGAAATAACATTGTGCAAAAATAATGAGCAAGTCAAATTATTTATGAGGTTGATCAGGCATTTTATGAGAGAATGCCACGACATCACAGATAAATCCAAATAGATACTGCACCTCATTATTCTGTCCCAGCTGAGTTCCAATGGTGGTATTAGCAGTTCCATCTCCACCCCTAGCACTAACTCTGGTATCACCCTGAGAAGTGCAGAATTGTTGTCACTAACTAATGACAAAAGGAAATGAGTAAAATAAGTGGAAGAAACAGTCAGCTAAGTTACATACCTCTAACTGCAGAATTATTGATGTTCATGAGTTCAAATAGACCCAAAGCAGTCATTGAATTAAACAAGTCAGTTGCTCATTCATGAAATAGAAAGAAAGAAATCTGAAACTATTGGAAGGTAAAACTCCTGCTCATAAATTAAACAGCAACGTCAACAGAACATGTACCTATTATTTCCACTTATGCTAATTCCAAAAAGTAGAAAAATAATGAACCATATCGCTTGTGCGCAATGAGATTAATGCTAAGTATTCACACACAAGAACAAGGAAATTTGCATTACCTCCCTGTAACGTGCTAGATACGTTTTGAGAGGATCAATATAATCTTCGAAACCTAAAGTTGCCATAGCCCATAGTAAATCATCACCATTTATTGTCTTCCTCTTCTCTTTCTGACACTTGTCACTTGCTCTACGGAACATAGCAACGAGGAACCAAAGTTAGAAAAGAGCAAAAACTTACAACCAGTATCACATTTCTTTAGAACTATTTCAGAAAATGATAATAGGATTCTTCAGGAGTATTTGTGTCAAAATCATTAACAACCACAAATATCTACCACACACAAACTTCAGTGTAGGTTGAACAATATCCTGCGCAGAATTCACAGGACATTACATGCAATTTTTCTACCTCAATTTGAAATATCTATACTGAACCACCCACTAAAACATATATCTATGGAAAATGCTTCATAAAAACTAAGAGCGAATATCTTTCAGGGGTATGTTGCAAATGATGATCACAGTCCTTTCATTTAGCCAAAGCAAACAACCAAGTGACGACGATGCCCTATGCATTTCTTGCCCGACTTACCTGGATTTCCTTTTTTACTTTGCTAAAAGAAACTTAGTTAATAATAAGATACTTATAAAATTCCGCATGTAGACACATTTAGCTTAAGAGAAGTACAGCATGTCACCGCTCTTCATAAAATAACTTCCTTTGTTATTCAGAGATTACACATTACAGAAATCATGGGAGTTTCCAGTCAAATGCTTATTATCAGATAAAAGAACTATAAAAGCAAATATCCAAACAACTACGATTGGCAAAATCTAATCTCTAAATCACCCATACAGAATTTTATCCCAGTCATAAACAAGTCAATGAAGAATGGGCTAAAACATTGCTTAAAACTCAAAATCCCTATAAGAAGTAATGCGCCGGGAAATGGGGTGTAGAACTGTTAAGGCGTAAGAGAAGTTATGCACAGTACTACACTTCCGAGTTCAGAAACCACCTTGCTTTACCATTCACACAAGCACAAAGCATCTGATCTTTCATCAAAATGCATAACACCAATTAAAGAATTTGGAAAGACTCTTCAAAGAACTAAAATGGGCAGAATCTAATCTTTAATTTATCCAAATAAGCATGGCAATTTAAGAACGGGAAAAAAAAATTGCTTCAAACAGATATCCACAAGCAAATAATAAGGTGATGGAGATTCAATTCAGCAGAATGAATACGATTGCTTCTCCACGAAATGCATAAAGTACTGAACAATACATTTGTTTCTGCTTCCTCCCAAAAACACAACTTTCCAGCCCAGAAAAGGGGAAAGGCCATAGGTTATACAAGAAATTAACAAACCCAAAATTCAGAAAGAATAGAAACGTACTCGCTGGTGATGAAGCTGATGAATTCAGAGACGCATTCCTGAACAGTATCCTTAGCTTCCTTAGCGATCTTTCCGTTAGCAGGCAAGGCTTTCTTCATAATTCTCCCAATATTAGCAATAGGGAGGAAACGGTCCTGCTCTCGGACATTCGACTGAGGGCTCTGATCGCCGCCGCTCTCCAACCCCCCGCCGCCGGCGCCGCTTCCGCCTCCGCCAGGACTCAGTGGAGGAGCTTCAGCCATCTTCACCACCAACTAAAACCCTAACCTGGCCTTAAAAACCAAAACCCAGAAACAAGAACAACAAAAGAAGGGGGTTAAAAAAAATCAAATTAATTCCGACCAAAAACAAAAATTAACGTTAAAACAGCCACCATAACATTTTCAATTATAAAATAAAAAACAAAAGTAAAACCCCAGAAAACTCCTTTCGTTGACCGTACAGGTGGACACTTCTCAACATGTGTAAGAGATCAAAAAAAAGGAAGAAAAAAATGGAGTCTTTGAGTTTAATGAAGAACTTACAAAAGGAAGAAGAGAAAGAAGAGATGTTTTGGAGGGAGTTCGTATTTGGCGGGCTTTGAGAGGGGATTGGTTGATGATGAATTTTTATTTTTTAATTTTTTCTTTTAATTTCTTCAGAGGGGGGAATCGATGATGTTCAGAGAGAGAGAGATGAAGGGAAGATCGGACGATGGAGAGCAGGGGACGGAGAAGAGGAGTCTGCCTTTTTTTTTTTTTTTTTTTTAATTTATTGGATTGGATTTTTATCTTTTCTTCTCAGCGGCTTTTCTGATTTCTTCAGGATCTCTGTTGACTCTGTTGGAAGAACTGTATTTATTTATAACAAAAAAATTATCCTAAAATGGAAAATAAAATATCTCTATTAGGGAAAAAAATCCTGGGCTTTAAATTACAGGAAAACTGAAAAAGAAGCAAAAATGAAATGCAATTCTGTAGATATATGTTAATAAAGAAAGAAATGGATTATGTATGGTGTTGAAAAACAATTTTTTTTCCCGATAAATAAATATTTTGAATATAATTCGATTCACTACTATATATAGTTTTAATTTGCAAGTTTGGGATCTAGTGAAATTCGTTTTGGGTGTGTATATTGTCATTCAAACAGTAAGTTATGAGTTTAGAATTTCATTTGCAAATCAAATTATAACTAATAATTTTAAACTGGTCAATTATTTTAGAACGGAGAGCATAAATTCATTTTATTCTTAAATAAAGTTTAATTTATTATATGAAAGATGACAGATGCTCTTCATCCCAAAATGATGGTCAAATTTGATTTTTTGAAAGAAAAAAAATAAAATAAAATTATCTTTTTGTTCAAATACAATCCAGATAAGCAGATTCACATAATCCATATGAAAATTTATAATTACATATTGGGCCTGTTTTACATCTCATGGCTATTTGGGAAACCAAATGTACAACCGTCCTTTAATTGAATTTATTATAGTCTTAATTACATGATGACAAATCTGGCGTAATAACTAATGAGATCACTAACTAATGAGCTCAGTAACTAATGAGATCACTGACAATGTTTATTTTTTTTTAAAAAAAATTGACAATCATTTTGTAAGAGACCAAAAAAATAATTGACACTACATCCATTACTTTAAAATTCACAAAATTGTATTCATGTTGAAAATCAAAATGTTTTAACGAGAAAATAAAACCAATTGATTTCGAATAGTTCTATTCACACTGCCATTCCGTCCAAGCAATTTCTTATTATGAGATTAATCATATTCTGGATTCCCAAAGAATACTGGAGATTGCGATGATAAATTAGTTTTGGCTATACTCCCCGCCCAAAATAAATATCAAGTATCGATTTTTATTTTCAGTACAACTTGTGTTAGAAATGAAAATCTAAACTGAATAATAATTTGAGACATAAGGAGTATATCTTCTCATTCTCAAAAAAGTTAAAATTTACAAGAAAATTTAATAATATTCTATTCACGTTGAGTTAAAATGAAAGTTGAGTCCGTTTAACAAAAATTAGGGAAAAGAAAAAAAAAAAGAAGAAAAGAATAAAGACTCTTATTTTGGGACGAGAAAAATGGTGCTTAAAAATTAGAGTAGTCTTACATTCTATACAATATTAAGAATGTGGTCGCGTCGGACTTAAACAACATATTACATACAAAATAATTCTTAATCAAGTAGGTGCAGGGAGAGAACATATATATGATGTTTCAAATTAGGAAATTACCTATTTTCGCAAATCCTAGTGGGAAGCTGAAAAGCTCATCTCTCGCTCTATTGGTCTATAAATATCAGACGAAATCTCTAATCTCTCAATTCACCCCTGCCTTCCCATATTACTGTAATCTAATCTTGCATTATAAGCAAACTTGTTTTTGTAAATTTTCTTCGTTAGTTCTCCTCGTTCTTTCAGAATCAAAGACGATGGATTCGCCATTACTACATTTACCTCACAATACTAATACCATCATGTCTCGATATCTACCTGGAAACTGGTTCTACTCACTCCAGGCACTTTTGCAACACAAAATCTGCAGTAAGTTGTCAAACATCTTTGTTGCTGATGATGATGACGACGATGATGATGATGATGATGACAGGTATGAATGGGAGCTAAGCAAGCTTCCCAAAAACCCGACAGATACATGGATCCTGTTGTCGCAGGACCCGTACCAGACTGAAAAGATAACTATATACAGCTCCATTGAGAAGAACGTTTACACCATTAAGCTGAGTTCGTTTCTTGGTGGATGGTGGTGCTGTGGAATATCAAAGGGTTGCTTTCTGATGGCGAAACCCGAAAAAGATTCTATACCAGCGAAGCTCTGGATCCCGGCTGCGAGGACTGGAATCAGGCTTCCTCCCCTGTCAACAATCCCCTGTTTCAACCACTTGAAGGAGGAGGAGAAAGACGGCGGATACGAACAGGTTGACATCTGTGGCTTGATCCACAGTGTTGAGGTTTTCTCAGACGTCCATGACATTAGAAGAAGTGCAATCGTGGGTATTACTTTTGGCGGTAAGGATCAACGTAAAGGTTTCGCGCTCTGCAGATCTCTAGACCAAAAATGGAGCACTCTATCTGGAGACAGGACTCAATGGCTGATATCAAATACCAAGACAAATACTGCGTCTTCGGTGTAGAATTATGTAGACGAGCGGGCTGATCAGATCCTCCCATGACTTGAAACTTTATGCTTCTTTGATGTTAGATTCTGATGCAGGAAGGGTTAAGCTTGAATCCATGAGCATAAAAGTCTCCTTATTGTTTAGTTTGTTTTAAGGTAATTCGTAAATTGTAATCTAGTAGGTTTTGTAATAATCAGAACCTAGTTCTTCTGCAGCTTTGTTTATGAGGTTTTATATGAATATATATAACTTCAGCCTATAGCTTTTCAAGACTCAAAAGTCTTTAAAGCCCTACGGCTAGGGTTTGTTGTTCTCGTTAATGTCATTTCGAATTAGTCTTGTTCCATCAGATATTCTGAAGTTGTCTTATACAATATATACTGTATGGTGCAAATAGATTTACTTAGTTCATTATGACATGGCACTAAATGCCAGCTTTTACCGTATGGTTGCAAGTATTCAATCCAATGATGCAGAAAGAAGATATGAAAGATCACCGAGAAAAGGTGGAGATCTGTCCATGCTTGTAATCACAGTTTCAAAAAATTTTTATAATGTGCAGTCCGGTAAATCTATTGTTCCTTCTGATACACAAGGCTCACAAATTTGAGATCTTCTTCCCTAACATTGTGACTCCTCCGTTGTATTGAATCATTGCTTTAACGAGACAACTGGATATCCTTCGGTATCAGCCATCTTCATGACCTCCTTCTGCGCAGAAGCACAGGATGAATGTCAGAAAATCACTCGGGAGAGAGCTCTAACTCCCGATGACATCACTGTTACCGTTACATTTAGTCCTACTAAGAAAATCATAGAATCAACAAAGCACATGCATAAAATATCACGACTTATAATAATGCAGAATAGCCAAAATTGTTGAAAGCAAGCTTATAATTGGTAGTTGCACTATCTGTATGATCCAGTCAAGATCACCTGGCACTTTCAGTCAATATTACTTGCAGCAGAACATCTACTACACCACGGAATTCTTTCAACTTATACTTGCATGATTTTGAATGTTCAACTTTTTTCTTACTCCCTCTCCTTCTGTTCTTTTTTTAATTTACATAGTTGCCATATCGAATTATTTACAACCATCTTGCTGTTCACATGCATGAAGAATATTGCTTCACCGTACTACAGTAGTCGGCTAAAAACTCACCTGGATGATTGAAGTGATCCTCCCAGGACCCACCTGGTAATCAAAATCCATCAGAATGCAAATTAAAAAAATCTTGCAGCAACTATCTCTTCTCTTAATTACTTTCAGTAGTTCGCATACCTCAAATTGCTTCTCCTCCCATATTACGTCCATCCAAGATTTCAAACCTAGAGCATCCCATGAACTTGGGACCATGATTGTCTCAGCGTGTTCTAGAAGCCTCAAACTGTCTGCAAATTTAATTAAATTTAAGGCTCTTGTGAGATCTCAGCAATAACATTCTTTCCACAAATGATGATAAAAGAAATAGCACATTCATATAGAAGAGATGTATATGGACTCAGATATTCATTTCTGATAAGTTCATAATTTGGAAACCTGAAAAACTAAAGAAAAGCCAGCATTAGTTAGTTACAATTTGACTAGGCCATTACTAAACGAGTTACCCTGTTGCAATGACATAAACAGCAAGTAGTTTGCCTGAAGGATGATCACACTAGAGAGATATGTTAATACATGACAGAGCATCCCAGTGACAAGAAGCCAAATGAGGAAAAGAGGAAAAGATTCTTTGAGAAACATAACCACAGAAGCATCATCATTTGGCTCGCTTACAAAATTCTACAAGAAACATGACCACAGAAGCCAAGAAAGGATTTCGTTTTCACAAACCACAAGAAGAAGCCTTTTTCCCACTATGTGGGGTTGGCTATTTTATATTCACAAACAGGTAAAAATTAACAGTAGGTGAGTTATCATTAAATGACCAAACAACCAACTAAAATATATGCATAATAGGCACATACAGAGGAAGAACTTACTCGTGGTGAATGCTTCTTTCCACAATTTATTCTGTGACCATGAGGGCGAAACTTCTCTCAGTGGAATTCCGATATTTGAACATACTCTGCCAGAGAGCCAAAATCATTAGCAAATATTATTGCAAGTACAACCACTAAGCCATTATCCAACGGTATGGAATTGGCTACTAATACCAAATATGAATTTACTTGACATGTTTCCTTCCAAATGATAGATTTTTTTTTTAATCTCTCTTTCAGAGTCTCTCGATTTAAGAATAGATTTGGTCATTCAGAACGAATGGTCTATGGCACTATTTTTACAAATTAATACAGGCAATCATTACTTCCATTTCGGAAGACATAAATAAGAGTGTATCAGAAAAATGAAATAATAACAAAAACTCATATAATAAGGAGGTAAGAATGTGGCAAATTAAATGCTTTTCCCCACTAACAGTTTGAAAAAGAAAATGATGTTGATGGCTAGAGCATCTACAAAATTTCTTCTTTGAAGTTCAGGATGAAAATTATGGTCTGCCGAGTCATTAATAGCTACTACCAGTTAAAGTAAAAACTAAAGATCGAACCTGACAATTTACGAAACTGAAGAGTATATAGAATATACACATTTCAGTAAAGAACTTAAGTAACAACTGCAAAGCTCTAACAGGAAATCCAGAACTTATAGAAGTTAGGTTCATTGGTTCACTGAAAGCATCCTGAATGCTGCAAGGAAAGTACATCCAACAACTCTGGATCTAGCTACCATGCAGATCATAATAAAAGGACAGCACATAAGGTGCTGCACCATGGAATATGCTAATGTGGAAAAGATGTTTCTCCAGTTACATAATTGTATAAAAAATTAATGCTCTTTCATTTTCCGTCTAGTTTTCCTTCAAGGCTTCCTAATCACATTCAAATTTCAAATGTATATGACAGATTACTTTACATTCAGCACTTCAACCGAAGACAAGCCCTAGATGACATGCTCATGGTCATGGATGGCGAATGGATTCAAACTCAGGTCCTCTGGGAAAGGAACAAGCTCCCTCCAGGTGAGCCTGCCCACTTCCCAGCTTCACCTACATTTTGTCAGTTGTCACCATCTAAGAACTAATTATTTTCATTAACTTACTCAATTATTGCTTGACGTATAACTCCCGGTAGCACGCCATCTTTAAGAGGAGCAGTCTGTACTTCCAAAAATCTTATAAAGTCTGAATATTTTTTCTGATCTGTATTCTCAACTCCATCCTGCAGAGAATTCCATACGTTGTTGAGACAAGTAGCATTGGTATCACGAACACAAAAGACCTCATATTGTAAAATGAACTTGCACCGGTTGAAACTCAGTCCCAAAGATGAGCACAGTGATTCTTCATTTATGCACAGTTAAGAGTTTGTGTTTTGGAAATATTCCAGTGGTCTAAGAAATAAATATTTCCTCATATCTCCTTAAATCATGATTATGCAAGTGCTCAGAAGAAGTAATGATAAAATATTTGAGAAACAGACTGCATTTTCATCTGACACAGTAATACAAGATCTAACTTTATGTTCTCAAAAAGAATCAGTTGTTTGATGACACAAAGCAACCAGCTAAAGCTCAAATGATAGCTGCTCAATCACAGTTTTCAATTCACAGGAGAACCTATATCTGAGAGAAAGTGTAATATATAGAACAGTGTCCTGCACGCGAAATTCCACATATATTAGTTTTCATTTGCTAAAACTTTCATGGAGACGCAATAGTAACATTGTCAATAATTCAAAAAAGCTTGCCATGAATTCCTAAAATTTTCCAATCCAGACCCATGGCGCCTGGGTTCTATTTGAATTCAATGCAAATAAAATTAGGAGAAGTAGAGTAGTAGCATAGTTAGGAAACCATGCACCTGTGATTAGCAAAGTCACTACTTTTTGTGATACGATTAGGTTATATCATACGTTTATGCTTACTACTATGGAGTTTACAAAATGCTACACTAACATCAGTAAAGCATTTAGAAAAGCTCGTACAGCTCAAACCAACAAAAAATAGATAGAACCTCAATGATCTTATGAGTCACTTACTTTGCAACAAACAACAAAGAAATTTGTCAGGCATCCTTCTAAGATATGATCACCGTCATTTGACAAGAGCAGCTCAGAAGTGGAAGGTGGCCTCAGCCTCTCCAAGTTCTTCCGAAGCCTACCTAGATTCATATATCCATATCAAATCTCACATTTAAGTTACTTCTATAAAGAAAAAAAAAATGCAGCCACATTGACTAAATAAAGGTTATATTCAGAAAACATTACCGAACCCAATCTGAATACTTTGCATTTGCTACATCCCTCCCATGTCCCACAACAGCCAACCGGTTACCATGTCTGTCAGCCCCAAAAACGCGTGGCACATAACGACCAAAATGTAAGTAAACATCGAAAGCCCTTGCAATTCTTTCCTCGTCTAGATCATCATCTTCCTCTAAAACGTCCAAATTGCCACACACTAGTGTTGTAATCGACATTTCCTCTTGAAAGCACCTCTCTTTCGTAACATAGGATAATGCTTTCCCCATGTAATCATTTACTAAACCAGAAATCAGAGAATCCCATGAAAAAGATTTCGCCATTGAATCGACAAATGGGATTACAGGTTCCCTGGTTTTGAACAACAATTCCGGCTTTGCTCTCAACAGTAGTTTCATAGAATTTGAGAGCCTGCTTAAATGCCTTTCCCAAAACAAGATTTCTGCACCATTATGATGAGTACGAGTTGTTGTATATGCACCTGAAATTCAAATTAAATTTGTTTACAAACAGTTATTCTGCTCATTATGATTTTTTGCCACTAATCAGAGTGTAATCAGACTAAAACAAAGAACACATATGGGTTTTCTGGTTAAATCCGTTTATACTTTGTTACTATACCAAATAAGAATTTGAACAAAAGGAAAGAAACGAAAAAAAAGAAAAAATCACGAATAAGCTCATTCAGACGGATGAAAGGTCGATGGAGATACCTGGGTAAGCTTGGAGCACGGTCGCCACCGGAGGAGTATCCGCCGGAGGAAATAAAACGCCGTTCGTAAACAGAAACTGATCGTAATTGGACATCGTTGGTTGCAGACTAAAAACTGATGAAGTGTGTGACTTCTTGGCAAAAATGATGATATTTCCGGAGCTCAAAATCAATAACAGCCCCGGGAACTTGAAAAGTCAGCAATTTATTCTTCCTTTGTTTTTTCCTCTCAATTAGCAGGATGACGGTGGTGGTAAGAATCCATGGTGGTTTCCGGCGGGAATTACCGTGGGTGGCTGAAGAGCAGGAGATTTGGTAGGGTTATTATTGTCCTTTTGCAACAAATATGCTCTGCCAATAAATCCAAATTTTCAACACTCATTTTGAACCCTATCCTGTCTGTTTTCTCTGTTTGTTTGCTTTTTTTTTTAAAATATTTTTTCGGATTATTTTATGAGTACATGTTCCATCCCGACATATATATTTTTTAATATTTCTAATCTATCTTTTCACATTTCCTATTAAAAAAACAAAGGAAAACACAGACTAAAAAACAATCCAAACATAAGTTTTCACTTTTCACCTCCTACATTTTCGTCCAATTCTAGATAGTGTATGTTGCCTCCAATTTTCATCTTCTTAAGTATTGTAAAGTGATAAATTATTATTTTTTTATATACAAGTAAAGAAGACATATTGCCTAGCAGACTATATTATTACAGAGGGTTGATATGACACACCAACTACATCGTGATAAATTGTTATTAAATCTGTCTCAACATTAAGACTTTTTAAAGATGAAGTAAATTGGTGCGGTAAATTCAATTGAAGAACTCATGTCAATCCTTTTAAATTGCTCTTTTACACAATATCTAGCGTTCTCCTCTGCATTAATGTTCGTTAAACTGACAATGAGGGTGAATTCAATGATGATTTTTTTTTTAAGACAAATATCAAAGATTTATTTTTTACACATAGTTTATAAAGACTTTCCAAACCAATACAGATACAGATCCCCTGCGCCTTGCTAAAGTTGTTCTAAATATAAATAAGAAAAATAAAAGAAAAAAAAAGACTTCCGAATCCTAGTCTTCATTAATCAACAATTTGGAAAAATTAAAAATCACTGAAATTATAATTGTTTATCCAAATATAGCTCTCCTTCAATTGCATTTTCCTCTTAATTAGATCAGTTGAATGTTGATTACATTGTCAAGAATTGGATTTGTTGATAATAGTTTGACAATTGGAAGGGGAAAAAAAAAACGAAATGTTGCAAAATTTAGTGGTTTAAGTAACAATAATAATCCTGTCATCTTCAACCTGCTCTTCGGATCTTATTCTCTCCTGAAGAAAAATGGATACTAAAAAAAAAATATAACAACATGTGTGCTTCATGATGTTAATAATCATGTATGTCAGAATAAGCTCTAGATAAACCTGCAAAGATAGTTTTATTTCTGACCATCACCATTAATCAATATTCCTAGTTGCCAAATTATCCAGGAAAAAATATAAATAAAAATAAAAGATACATTGCAAGGCATTGATTTCTCTGGTCTCAATTTAAAAAAAGATAATAATAAAAGGAAGGCATTAATCCTCAAATCCAAAACATTCCCAAAACTTAAAAATCCTTAAAACATTATTAATCCAAAACAAAAACAACACCAACAACAAAACAGCACAAGAAGAGTCATGTCAAGACTAGGTGAATCAATTCAACAACAAATGGACAACATGACTGGAACGATCTGAACGAGCAAACTCTTCAATGGGGATCAGAACTAGAGTGCACCAAAAACAACGGGACATGTCGATGGACCGGCAACTTCTGGTGGTGGAGGAGGAGACTTCTTGTTCCTCACATACTTTCTTGCCCAAACATGTTTTCCGTTGATGCTATACTTAGCCCTTCCACCTTCACAAACCGCATTGACAAACGCCGGCGAGCATGCAATAACCCTTGCAAACAACACTTGCTCATCCTCAGGCACTTCTTGCATATGAATGCCTTCAATGAAGTTCCCAAATTTTCTATCCACACGAGAATTCGTAGACTAGTTAGAGATGTTTTCATTGATTCATGACAACAAAGGTATGCCTAATTACACCACAACTAATACAAAACATAGTAAATTTCTTTGTAAAACTCTTGTTGAGTCATTTAAGATTTATAATTATTACTATGTTGAGGTTTCAATTAATCTAAACTATTCTTGTATATGAATTTGTACATAGGGCACATACAAAACTCATGGAATCTAAAAAATGCAACAAAAAAAAAAGGATTTAATTAATTGGGCAAAAATTTTGAGTAAGATTAATGCCTCGATTGATATTAGCCAAAATCAAAAACCTCTTTCGGTAATTATAATTAACTGAAATTTTTTAACTTTAGTTGATACCATATAACTCATGATTGTATGCTTCATCAGCTATTTGCAACAATATTAAAAGGAATTAAATCATCAAATTCACAAAAAAAAAGAAGGAAATTGAATGAATAATTTAAGAGTATGTATAAGTAAAATATAGAATTCACTTACTTAGTGAAGAATTCCTTAACTTCAGCAGCTGAAATGGGGTAACCTCTGGAGAAGGTCAAAAAGATTGTCCTTTCATCAGGGGAATCATCGTCATGCTCGATGAGGGTCAGGCTGCTATTGAAGATGTTATTAAAGTCGTTAATACCGTCCGAAACATCTTGCTTGATCTCGGATGGCTCTATGGCAGCGTAACTAGGCTTGAACATATTTTCATGAGTACCAAAAAATCCATGTGGAGCTGCAGCAGTAGTATTGATCATGAATGCTGATGCACCAATGCCACTTAATTCTGGGGATTGAGTTTGCATCGTCGTGGGCTGGGCAACATAATAAGGATACCAATACCCATAACCACCTTGATAAGGGTTTTTTTGAACTCCCACAGCTGGTTGTCCAATCAAGGAATTGGAATTCGAGAAAGTCCCAAATTCGATGTTGCTGAAAAAGGAAAGATCACCATTGTCATCAGTACCCTCCAAAGAGGGAGTCATCAATGGTGGTGTTATGAACGCTTGATTCTGAACTCCTTCATTAGTATCTTTGCCAGTGGTTGTGACAGTAGGCATCATGAATGGAGTCACATTTTGTATTCCATCATAAACAACTTCTTTGCCACGATTGTACTCCTCGAGGATATCCCGGAAGGCCCTGGCACAGACTTCTTTTACCATCTTGGCAACTCCTTTAACGACCCAAACACGATTCTCGTAAAAGTACTTGAAACTCACATCTCTTTGAACGAAAATCGGCATCAAAGCCAGTTGAACGTTGTCAGAGAACGGGTATTTCTCACTTGCAACACATCTCAAACACATAACTGTCTCGTTGCACAAATTGTTGACCAATGTCATTTGGAGTTCCAACATCTTTTTGATAAGAGTCAAGTTGTCCACGACTTCTCGCTCTAGCCAGATCCAAAAACCCATAATTTGTATGGCTTCTTTTGGGTCACGATGGCCTTGGCTACCAATCAAACGCCTAAACAACGTACGGTCAATGTGATGGAAGGCATAGTACTCCATGTCTGAAAGAGCTAAAGGAGGAGGGGAAGAAGAAGAATTATTGTTGGATTGTGAAAATGTAGCAAATGAGGACTCCATTCCCACTCCTAATTTACTCTTTTGTGAAATTGGATTTTTTTGATGAATTGGTGACACTTGTTAACTCGTACTTGTTACAAATTTATATAGAGATAAAAGTTGTTGGGAGAAAAGATACGATGGTGTTTCTCGGTTAATTGGTAAGAATTACCATTGAATGGGTATGATAAAATGCATCATTTGAATACAAGGAACAATAAAAAATAATAATGTAGTTGATTTGTTTTAAGAATCGCGTCATTGTGATTCTTGTGGTTTTAATACGTTTTATCTAGTCAAATGTCTACAATGGATGAATATCTTTGGGTCCATATCTTTGTGTTACTATGAATCCAAAAAATGGATGGAATTTAATTATAATATTATTTCATATGGTAGTGAATTCCTCTCCATTATAATGATGTATATTAAGTTATGTACCATATGTATTAGATTTTTTTCCTCTTTTTTACCTCCCAAAAAATTGAGAAATGATGATATATTAAAGGGTAGAAGTTAATGTATTAGATTTTTATAACGGTCTCATTACTCTCTATAGTTCTTTGAGATATGTTGGATCCTACTCATATTAATTATTATTTTTAATATGAACAATAATAAATAATAATCATATTTCTTATTTGGATGATTTCTTTCCAGCGTTGCATCATTTTCTCGTGTTGCTGGTACGTTACTTTTCTCCAGTCAAATGTTTAGAATGGATGCATATCTTTGTATTAGTAGTAATCCAAAAAATGGTTGAAAGTTAATTGGAATCATTTCATATGGTCATGAATCCTTCTTCTTTCTTGTATATATTAAGTTATGTACAGTAGGCATTGGATTTTTTTTTTCTATTTTTTGCTTCATTTAGAAATGACAAGATATCAAAGGGGTGGAGTTAATTCATTAGATTTTTAGATTTTTTTTTTTTGAATCGTCTATGTTCTTCTCTAATTGGATCCTACTCATAGTAACAGTTAATTTTAATTTTGTTTACGAAATCTACTTGGATTTTAATTTTTATTTTGTAGTTTTGTCGAGTGATTAGCAATTTAGTCAATAATTCAAAAGTCACAACGATAATCAAATGGACGAAAGTTGTAGTCTGATTAATGACCTCAACTATCTTCCAAATTCCACTCAATCACAACAAATAAAATGATATTTGTCTTCATCACCACGATCTATGTTGCAGTTACATTGATTATGCACTCATTTCGATATTTTTTTAGCACTCCTTGTAAATTTTATGATGTATATTCGTTAATCATATCTGATATCCCTTATGTTTTATCTATTATCAACGTGCTCTATATGTTGTATATTTAACTCGACAAGAGCGATTTGTAATCTGAAGAAGCATAGCATTATTCTTTATAATAAGTGTGTTTGTGGTCAATTGTCTACTATTTGTGTGCTGAAATAGACCAACTATTGCGTCGAGTTCCTTCTACTAAGTCAGTAATTAAAAATTTCATGGTGTTATTCTCTTGAGTATTATGGTTATATCATTCACTACTTTATATACGTATCTTTGTTATATTCTTAGACTGGCCCTAAGATGGAAAATAGAGATTGAACAAACCTTACTTATCAACAATTTATATAGAGAGAGCAAGGGGAAGGGAAAGAGTTTCAATCCCGTTGTTCGGAAAAACCCATATGCATATGACTAGATGATCTCATACACAATTGAATTGATATATAACAGTGCAAACAACAAAGAATAACAATAATAAAATAGCGATACGAAAATTGGTCAATTTAAAAAGGGAAAGAAGTATATTATAAAGTGCAATTGCGAAAATGACAATGGCTAGTTTAATGAAAACCTCTCCATGCATTCATTATATTAAAACCCGAAGAGAAAAGAAGCGGTTCTACAATTTTTCATTCATAGTTTACTTATAAGTTCTGATATAATTCACACACTCAATATCAAATATGTACTTTACAATTTTCACAGTTTGTTTGTTCTTTTCTTAAACACATATGTTCACATTATATTTATATTTTTTTAACACAACAAACTTGAGACACTCAATCGTAAGAAAAACAAAACAAAAAACGAACGTTATCTCTACTTTTTATCTTCTTGTTCATTTATTATCATTGTTTTTTCAAAGAACATATTTCATCTTTCTAGCTGTCTTTAGTTTAGGTGGATTTAGTCATCAAAAGAGTAAGCAAAGAGCTGGAATCCATCGCACTGCATCAAAAACCGCTTGACTCTGTTATGCATGTGTAGAAGACAATGTTCTCAAATTGAACACGTACTCAAAATCCCACAAAACAGACAAAACCTCATTTCTTACACAGTAAAAGCTAAGATCGGTGCAACTGTGCAAGCAAAAGAAAATCAAGCAACACACACAGAGTCATATGTATGTAAATTTGGTGTATTTTTCGAATCAGATTGCATCGTAATACCAATCCTCACCGCAAGCTCTTGTTTTTTTTTATTTTACTTTGACCATGCAGAACCACATCATCATCTATTTATACAAAAAAACATGTAACTAACATGTGTCATGTTGTATTCAAAACTGAAAAAAAAAAATTAAATGTTTTGATCGGTGGGTCGAGGAATATATACCAAGGCATATTCCGGTGGGTGGAGAGGGAGGAGGATTTGTGATACCGCTAAGATCAAACTTTAACTGCTTGTTTAATTAATAATTAATAATTTGTACTCTTGATTAACAAAGTCATTTTGGTTTTATAAGGGACATATGTAAGATATAGAACTCTAGTAGTTCTTATATTATAATTTTTTGGAGTGATCACAAACTATTTTTTCCAAGTGTTTTTCTTGTAAGTGTAAGTAGGAACCTTAGATTATTTTATTTTCAGAAAATGGTGTGTTTGGATCGAATTAAAATGAAGATACAAGGATAATATGTGTATGCTTATCTCACGGTTTTATTAAAAATAATTTATTAATTTTATATTATTATTATTAGATCTTGGCACTCATTTCGTTCAATATTATTCGGTAATTATATGTCTCCTACACTTTATTACTACTAGCTATAGCTCGGTCATTAAAAAAAACATTGAGATATATATTAATTATTTTATTACAACCAAGTATCTCATTATTACAAATATTAAAAAGTACACAAGATAATTAAAACACAACACTGAGTTACATTTATTTTTATGACAATACAGTATCTCAGTCGCCAATCATTATAAAAGTACACAAAGCAATTAAAAACACAATCGAGTTACATTTATTTTTAGTACAATGAAGTACCTCGATTGTTCAAACACGCATTAAGAAGCAGACACACAACATACATATCTAATTGCAGATTACTGCTAAAGCGCAACCATCATTACACAAGATCCAGACACATATAGATTATTATGTATGGTGATCATAATTCAATTATGATTTAAAGTAGATAGGAAGAATTAGCAGTTGCGGCTGTCTGAAGAGTTCTGATTTTCTTGATATATTTCCGAGCCCAGCAGTGCCTGCCATGGATATTGTACTTGGCTTTACCACCTTGAATGATCAAATCCATGGCCGCAGGAGAGGTGCACACCATCCTTGCATAAAGCACCTGTTCATCTGGTCGCACAATTTGCATGTACATTCGCTCTATGACACCCGGACCGAATTTCCTATCATCATCATCCCCGAAAAACAAAACGAAATATTATTATATAATTTAATATACACAACAAAATATATATGTCATCATCACCATTTATAAAAAAAATAAATTAGGAGAATTCATATGAAGAAATTAATTAATCACCACCATTACATTACTACATTTAAAATAGAATTGAATGAAAAACATGTTGTATAGTTAATTAATTAATCTATGCAATTGACATTACACGAAAATGATGGATGCTGCACAACTAGGGTAAATGTTAATAAGAATTAGTAGTAAAGATATTGTAATTACCTGGTGAAGTAGTCGGAAACATCGGAGGCGGCAAGGGGATAACCTTTGGAGAATGTTAAGAAAACTGTCCGATCGTCCGGCAGGAGATCATCAAGGTCATTGTACTTAACATAGTTGGTCTGATCATCATTGTTATTAGTACTACCACCACCATATTGGCTGTTCATCCCACCACTGGCTGGATCGTAACTCACGAATCTAGGCTGTTGCGGCGGCCGATATTTAGGATAACCGCCGTTTGCATTTCCCTGAGCAGCAGAAGAATTAGCCCAGCTCGGCTCCGGCAGCTGAGCTGCCGGAGGGACGGAGAAAACCCCTGATGGAGGAGGATTAGTAGTAACAGGTGGTGGAATCATATTCATAGCATAACCCAAGGTGGAAGCTGGCGGTGGTGGTAGTGGTGGTGCCCGCGGGTGATATGGTTTGTATGATCTCGCCAACAATTTCAGCGGCCGGGGGCCTGGCGGTGGCGGCGGCATGGATGCCACCGGACGATGATGATCATCTCCATTGTTCAGGACAAATTTGTTGCGGTCCAGCGGCTCGAAGATTTTCCTGAGCTCATTCAAGATTAAATCTTCGCGAGCATCCAGATGCACCAACTTGAGTGGTTTTGCTAATATTCCCGGAGATCCGGCTTTGTAACCGCAGGCTACCCGGCTGCCAGCGTCCGCCAACTTTGGGTGGCGAGCCTTATCCTCGGAAGAAGGAGCAAAGATGGATTCAATGTCAAGTGACAAATCCATGATCAGGGAATTTCCATCATTAGCCCTAATTGGGGTTTTCGCATAGTTTTCACTCCCAAAAAGCAGTCTTGGATCCGTCACCGGATCAGCCGGAGGAGAGGCGTTGAATTTCCCTTTGGTCATCACATTGTAATAGATGTCCCTGAAAGCTCTAGTGCAGACATCTTTCACGAAACCGCTAACCCCTAGAATCACTTCGGTTCGGTGAAAATGGAGGATTTGGAGGTTGAGCTTTTTCAAGCCCATTAGTCTTGGCACTAGAGAAATGTCGTAAACTCCTTCGGTGAACGGAGGGATATCGGTACTCACGCACCTCAGGCAGAACACGCATTCTGTAGCGATTTCGTTGAATAAACGGTCCGAGAATTCCAGCACTTTGGCCAGAATCCCTTTCGTTTCACAGATGTCAGATTGAAGCCACATCAGAAACGCCATCACGTGAACCGACTCCTCGGCAGGCCGGCTTAGATTGATTGCCAACCTTGAGTACAGCTGCCGATCCACGGCGTGACACAAATAGAAATCTTCATCCGGGATTTCATACTTGCTACAAGAAGTCATGATTTTTTTTATTTTTTTATTTTTGAGGCAAAGGAAAAAAAAAAAAGTTGAAAAGATTGAGTATAACTGAATCAGAGTATTGATCAAGTGTTGATTAATATTTCTCTCTTTTGGTTGATCAGAGAGATTTTGAAGATGGTATAAAATGGGCTTGATGAAAAGGGAAATTTATGCTTAATTTGATGGAGTGTGTGTGTGTGTGTGTGTTTTGGGGGAAGAGGTGGTTGGAGAAAAGCTTTGCATTGATGTTGTCATCTAGTTTTGAAATCTTGTTGGGATGCATGTCTTTCATTTACTTCTTTCGGTAGGTTTTTAATGTGCTTAATCTGCTGCATTTGTCTATATCTGAGCAAAATACTAGTGTCACACAAGTCTATATCTTACATCAAAATGTTTTCTGTTCACCTTTTTTAATTTGATTTGTACTCAAAATTCGACTGTGTTCTTCATCTTCTGAAAGTTTAGTCTGTATCCTTTGATAATTCCAGCTTAAGTATTAGTTCGAATAATAAGTTGAGCCTAACGGAGGAAAAGGGGTTGATGATTTGCAGAAGACTATGGTGGATGAAGGGTTTCTTTGACATAGATTGTTTGGACAAATTTGGTGATCTATTGAAACATTTGACATACTATTTTGGATTGGTCGGTTAATGAATTAGAGGGGAAACTGATTGAATTGACCAAATTTGAGAACTTTGAATTGAAACCTAGACTAATTAACACCATGCTGAGCTGCTTAGAACCAAATTTGAATTTGATACCAAAATGAGAGATGAAATAGTGGTGATATGTTGGTCTTATACGATATAGTCAATCGACACGACGTCCGTGCATATTATAGATGACATTTTCCAATTTTAATACAGCTAGCTAACTAAAATTTTTATTCACCTCATGTGAAAAACCTTTGTGAAATAAATCTAAATGATTTTAGTAGGACAAGACCAAAAGAGATGTAGAACAACACTTGTCATTTTCAGTTATATATGATGGCAATATTGTAGAGGTTATTACTCATCCCAAAATGTAATTATGTAACTTTTCAGACCCCACCTTAGTTTCTAGCTAGTGTCGACGCCCAAATATATGAAGTACTGCATAAGATTTCAATCTTGTCCTCCATAGATATCGTAAAGGGGGAGTAATTAAGCTGGTATATATTGCATACATGGAAAAGTGCGAACAAATTCATACTTGAATTGAACTTTTTAAAACACTAAACAACATAATTTCGGTGATGCAATTTATATGTGATATGCTCACACAAAAAAGAAAGGCAGGAGGGAACATAACGCAAAAGCGACCAAGGTCAAGGCATGAACCACGAGAGAGGCCCTTTAACGTATCCGAAATCTATCAAACATCAATTGCACATGAATATCAAAGACCTACGCAAATCATCAATTCCCTATGCAATATTCTCGTAACACATAAATGCGCAGTTCAGCTTGATTCCTATTAGCAATTCTATTAAAAACTGGCATCATTGTTAATAGATGACTCCATCACCAGAATCGAAGGGTGATCGATGTTAATTAAGCTTTGATATTTCCAGATGAACGTGGAAAAGCCATCAAACTCGAGTCATTTCATCAAACTTTTTTCCATCATACGGTAAAGGAGGCAGTAAACATATAGAGATTATGTAAAGCGTGCTTGTGCTTATTACTTTTGATGTTAGTGTGTGTGTGTGTGTGTTCCCTTTTTAGTGGGAAAAAAGTTAATGGTCATAACAAAAGAAACGTACATAGCGATTAAGGACTGAACCTAAAGACCGCGGGGGTGACGGAAAAAGTGGGTACTGATCTTCGGAAGTGTATTGGTTGGCTTTTTCTCTCCAAACAATTAAAGTCCAGCAGGTTTTCCAAGCTTTCGCTAATTTCCAGGTAATAATAAAATAATAAGATTTGGAGTAGAATATAACGGCTAATCTAAATACTGTTTGTATGTACATATGGAATTTAAAATAGGCTTCAAAAGTGAAACTGTAATTAATAGAACATTTTTATCACTGTAAACGACTAGTCTCTACTTTAACCATTATTTCATCTCAAATTTCTATGTCACCAACAAGGAAATTTTTGACTTTCAACTCAGCCAAGAAAGGAATCATCTGTGTTATATTTTGACTCTAGTATCTAATGAAAGATCAAAGCCCGGCAGACACATCCAGATTTGCACTATAGTTACATTTATTTCCATAGCTTCTTTTTTTTTTTTTTAATTCCCAGCCGATTGTAATGTCAAATAATGATATACGGATTTACAAAACTAGCTCATTTGGACTTCAGTATGTCCTTGTGGACCTTGTCCTGTTGTCCATCTCCCACGAAAATTTTGCATTTACAAATGACAAGAAGTTTTGTTATAAATGGTTTAATATGCTTTTTCAGTTGATTTACATCTATCTAGTACTCCATCCGGTCTTTAATATAAAATATTTTGATTAGTTCTAAGTTTCACCTAATATGTATTTTTAATAATAAAAAAACTTTAAAAATATGTTTTTACATTCGTTGTGTTCTTTTGATCGTTAGAAAATATTTTTAAAATTTTTTTGCCAATTAAAAATACGTACTAAGTGAAACTTGGGACATAAAAAAAATGCCTTTAGGACATGAGGGAGTAAAATACAACAAGCCAGACATGATTCTTTAACAAACTTCCTAGTACATATGTATGTCAGTCCAGACAGTCCCCCTCCATATCATATATATATAGCCTGGTTCCAAATTTTAGGCTCTCAGAAATGAGGCTACTGCACTTTTCTTTTCGGGAATAGAAAATTTTCGATTTCAAACATGTGCTTTAGAATGTATGGTTTTTGAGCACATCACGAACGAACTGGCTCAATTTGATGTTAGTGTTAATCTTGGTTCAGTTTCGTGCAATAATACTGCCATAAGGCCCAAGTATGATATAGGATTTTGGAAATTTCCTATTGAGTGGAATCGGGTGATTTGGTTTCTATTAAAAATACAGTGAGGGTGGCTGGGCTGGGCCAAAATTTTGACGATTCAGAGAAATCAAAAGAAATCGATTCAGCTTTGAGATTTTATAGGATAATAATATAATAGTCAAAGTAGTAAAAAATTAAACTCGAAATTTTTTACGGTAAAAAGAGCAAGAAACGACTGGAAGTTTTCACTTTGATTTTAGGTTTATAATAGTATATTACGGCCGATCGATCATAGGCAGACTACGTGGAGTTCTGTTTTCTCCGACACACCCATCTCCAGCCACCAGCACCACCACCACCACCATTGAACCACAACCCGTAAAGAATCTGAGCATAAAATCCGTTAAACAAGCCCTGGATACCTTCTCCGATCCAGTTCACGGCCACTTACCTCCTCCCGATGCCGAAAGCAAGAAGATTCGCCTTACCCATAAGCACCTGAATACTGAATGCCAACCCATCAAAGGCGCCACCGATATTCCGCCCGTTCCGACCCGGAAAAAGAGCTCCCAACCGCGGTGGCAGAAGACGAAGTAGCAGCCGGGTTCCCAGTAAAAACTAGTCTAATTCCCACTTCCGGCATTATGGGAAGCGGGCCTAATCCCGATGATCAGCGTCGTCCCTGGAAGAATTACAGAGTCATCAGTGGCCGTATGGGTTGGGTAAGATCCGTTGCGGTTGACCCGGGTAATTCCTGGTTCTGTACCGGGTCAGCAGATAGGACGATCAAGATTTGGGATTTGGCCAGCGGGAGGCTAAAGCTGACATTAACAGGCACATTGGTCAAGTCAGGTCCCTAGCTGTTAGCAGAACCCATACTCACATGTTCTCTACTGGTGATGATAAACAGGTTAAATGTTGGGATTTGGAAACAAACAAAGTCATCCGGTCTTATCACGGCCACCTGAGCGGCGTTCAATGTCTGGAACTTCATCCGGCTATGGATGGAATTGTTGTCACCGGTGGCCGTGATTCTGTTTGTCGGGTTTGGGATATTAAAAGTAAGATTCAAATCTTTACCCTTTCAGGACACGAAGATACTGTTTGCTCTGTTTTTGGTCCGCCAATGGCTCCGCAATTGATTGTGACTGGATTACAAGATAAAACTATCAAGATTTGGGATATAAGGAAGAATGGTAAGGCCATGGTGACTTTGACACACCACAAGAAATCGGTGCGCGCAATGGCGCCTCACCCGAGCCAGGATTGCTTTGTATCTGCATCAGTCTGATAACATTAAGAAGTTCAGTCTTCCTGGAGGAGGATTCATGCATAATATGCTCCCCTCGCAACAGGGGACCATCATCAACGCCGTCGCGGTGAATGGAGACGGTACTGTTTTGGCTTCGGGAGGTGACGATGGAAGTTTGTGGTTTTGGGATTGGAAAAGTGGTCAGAATTTCCAGCAAGCTTGAAGTGTACCTCAACCTGGATCGCTGGAGAGTGATATATGCGCTCGCCTTGGATGTCACGGGTTCCAGGCTCATCAGCTGTGAAGCAGATAAGACTATCAAGATGTGGAAAGCAGACTGATCTGCGACGCCTGAGAAATCATCCCGGACTTTCTTTCAAGCCACCTTGAGATCATTTGCGGCCTTTTTAGTAGCGCATTGAATTCTGTGTAACTTGTTAACTCACAAATTTTGAGGATCCATGACTAAATAGTGAGTGGTTTACGGTACCAGAGTCGTCTATTTTGGAATTAGAATCATTCATCTCCATTTGAGTTATTAGCTGAAAATTTCTCATAACATGTCCAAAAAGAAATTTTTGCGTAACTTTTTTCTATTTTGTGGCCCTTTGCAAATTTCCATCTCAAAATAGTAGTATTTCAATAGCATTTATTTTGACACATGTTTAATTCATGTTCCTTTTATTTTGGTGGGATGATTAGGTGAGAATGGTTAGAGAAGCCCCAACTCTTTTGGTTTTGTTTCTCAAGTGAAGTTAGTACCGTTTCTCAAACAATTGTGCCGAGACAAAATTATGTGCTGATTGCTTAAGTTAATAAAGAAAGTTTCACCTTGCATTTCAAAGATTAAAAAAGTGGCTCCACAAGTGTTTAGCAATGTGTTTGTGTTGGTTCGATTTTTGACAAATCTGGTCCACATGAGAACAGGCCGATCGCAGTACTTTAATGGAGGGAAAATCGGTTTGAAGCCCGCCTTGGTTAAAATTCGTGGATGCAACAGAGAGCGAGGAAGCCAAATCCGAAAAGGAGTCAATGAAACCGCAGTCCACATCGAAGAAGGATTCCAGTTGCAACAGGAATTCTTGCGGAATTCAACTTCTGTTGCAACCTAGTTAGGGTTGGCGGAATCAGTATAAAAGCTATGAAGGAGGCACCGAGAAGGACACAACTTATTATCCAAGAATCAGAAATCATATTTTCCTTTATAGCTTTGTTCTTTGCAATTTTAAGCTTTTATGTATTCGTTTATGTTTCAGCTTTAAACGTTGTAATCATTTCGGTGATTCAGGCTATTCAAAGACGATTCGTTTTCATTCAATCAATAAAACAGGCTCTTGCAAGTCGTTTTATCCATTTCTTAGAGTTTCTCATTATTCGGTTGAGTGTCATTTCAAAGGCATCATCCTGTTTAGGACAATTTCAGTGTTTAGTTTACGCACTTTGAGAATATCACGAAGTCGCTTGAAATTAGTTTGAGCCGAATCGGTTTCCACTATAAAATACAATTTTGACTCAAACAGTTTGTAATATTGTTCCTCTGATTTTGTAACATTGTTCTTATGATTTATGATTGTGAGTGGCTAAATCCATTTTACCGTACGTTTATTAGCTCAAGTTTTACATGCTTCCAATACAAGAGTTCACAAGTCACAGGTTAGGTGATTATGAAGATTAACCACCCTAACTAATAGAGTCCAGACTAATAAACTAAGCATTTGAAGTCCGCGTGGCTCTTCCCCATGATAGAAGTCAAGTATTGATTAGAAGCAATAAATTAACTACGATCAAGATTTGGAAAATTCGAATTGTGATTTACTTAGGATTGGTAATACATAATTGGTTTAGGATTTAGAATCGGATTTTCTAATCACATTCCTAATCAGATTGATAAAATAAGGCGAATCTCTTTTCTTTGATGCGATCGGGTGATTTACTCTTACTCTATATATTTAAACAAGATCAGTGAGATCGTAGAAGAATTTGCAAATATGACTACCGGAGCGAGACCCACATGGGTGGCAGCTAAAGGAGGAAACAAGCGAGGCGGCAACATATGTCCCTCTAGGAAGTATTCTTCCAGGGACATGGCCTCTCACACCACCTTAAAACCTAGGAGAGAGGGACAAGACACCCAGGATGAGCTTCAGACACGGAATCTCCAACGAGAATTAGATGGCCGGGAGCGGAGGAAAGACATTAATGATCAAGATCATTGTCTGGTTACAAGCGATCTTGATGCTGATGCTGATTCTGATGGCAACAACATTACCAGTGACGAGGATGAAGATGAAGATGAAGACGAAAATGAAGCTCTGTATGCTGAGTTGGCAAAGATGGAGAAAGAAAGAAGAGAAGACAAAGCCAACAAAGATGCTCAGGAGGAGTTGTTGAAGAAGAATGGGAACCCTCTGCTAACTAGTTATGACAATCCAACATCTTTCAGTGTTGTGGTAAAGAGAAGGTGGGATGATGACGTGGTTTTCAAGAACCAGGCTCGCAATGGTGGTCATGGAGTTAAGACGTCCAAGCGGTTTGTTAATGACACGATTAGGAACGATTTCCATACAAAATTCTTACGCAAGTACATGCATTAATAATAGAGTTAATTTTATATATGCCGCCTCATAAGCAAGACCTTTGGAGTTGAGAATATTACACACACACACACACACACACACACACACACACACACACACACATATATATATATATATATTTGAAACGATCACGTAGCACAGAAGGAGGAGTCGCCTTCCAATTACAACCTTCATATTCTTCTGTTTTCTTTTTGGAGATTTTCAAATTCTTCTGTTAGTTTCTCCTTAATTTACAGTATATATGTTTTTCCAGCTCTTGTTTGAATCCAACTTAATTTGTTGCGTATCCCATATGTTAATTCCAAGTTTCATTTATATAGGATATTGAAGGATTTATATATACATTATACGTACCCATATGAGACCCATACGAGACAAGCATAGATGCCATTTTAGCATAAAGTAGACATGAAATACTATCATACAATATAATTTTATTTTTTTTTATTATTATTGTTCACCTTGCACAATTATTGCTCCCTTAGTACAAAGTAAGTATACAGTCCTCCCTTCTTATAACATTAGTAAATACTATAATAACAACTTTGAAAATAATACTTCTCTGTCCCCAAAAAAAACTCTTGGATTTATTACATATTTCACTTCAACAAAACACATGCACTAATTTTTTTGGGACCAATGAAATAGGAGTATTGAATTATTTGAACAACAGTACATGTGGTAACATTATTTTATTGATGATGATGATGTTTGCAAGGTCGATCAAGCGCATTTGGACAATAGCACCAATTGGTGATCAATTAATTCAATTCCCAGCCGCTGCTGCCCTGGCGTTACGGTTGCGTTTCTCTTGAGAAAGCATTACAGCGAACCTACGTAAATTCAGAGGAAGGTAATCCAAACATTTTCTTCATCACTTCTCAGATAAAAGCAGTTAAATGAATAAGAATTAAGTACGTATCACTACTTAAATATATACACTAACAAATACCATACTCCATTTTAAAATGATTGTCTCTTGTTAATGTATTACGCTAACTGAAGTCGTATTTGAAGGTATTTATAATTAATTTCGGATTTTGGATTAGAAAAAAACAAGTATATATTGAACATTAATTTTGCACTTACTTTTTCAGAGCCTCCGCGTTAGTTCCTTGATTTACAGGCTCATTATCTCCGGTGTCCAAATTCACCCTTGAAACTGGTTCGGTCAACAACTTCTCACCAACTTTGACTAAATTCTCCAAATTTCTCTGTGTGGCAAGATCCAGCAGACTGAGATCCCCAGTTAAATAGTCACACTGTATGTTTTGCACACCAATTAATTGCCTTAAATTAATAACAATGTCAATCCATATTTATTATTCTTATTAATAATGTGCAATAATTTGTGCAGTAGTACATTAGTAATAAGTTATTATCACCAATTAAAGATAAATTTTTTTTTCTTTACAATGAAGGAAGCAATCCCTGGAATAATATTAACATATTACAGATATATCATAATGGTAAGTATTAATATAATAAATTAATTGGTGATCTCACTACAGGGTTATTATATATACTCCAATTTACCTGAATCCGAAGGTAGTTGTCTTCAGAGCGAAGGGCTTCGAAAGTAGTACTGAGATGAATGTCAACCATATCACTACTTCCGGTCTGGAAAACATCAATGATCGGTGTCGTAAAACCGGCGGTCAACCAACTGACAACACCCCACATTGCTACATCCTTGGCTTTGAACTTGTTTTCGTTCTTGGCTGTCCCGGTTCCCAACGATAATACCAGGAATTTAGTGTAGTCCAAGGGGCTTGTGTTGGTGTTGAACTCCTTATTTCCCAGGGTCAGTTGCCTTGTCAGATGGTGCATTGCTATCAAAGTCTAGCAACCAAAAAAAAAAAAGTCCAAAAAAAAAGAAGAAGAAGAATATGAATGATGGAAGTCGCGGTCGAAAGAGATGGATATATAGGGTAGTTGGGAATTTAATCGATGTTACATAACTATGGTCCATATTGTGTTATTATGGATTTGATTTTGATATTCATGCATGGCAGTACTGACAAAATGATGGGGGAAATTTACTTTTTTTTAAAAAAAAAAAAAAAAAGAAGAAGAAGATACCGGATTATTGGCAGCAACACCACCATCAATCATATTGAATTGCCTCACACTTCCATCACCATGTTGATTCTCAAAATAGTGCGCCGGAAGATAAGTCGGAGCTGCTGATGTGGAAATGCACACATCCGAGAGTTTGCAGTCCAGAATCGGGTCTTTTTTCAACTGATACCGGATTTTAAATTAATAACTTTAGTTAATTTCTCATCCCTTTTCAACTGATACCGGATTTTAAATTAATAACTTAAAAGTTAATTTCTCGTAAGAGATTAGATACATAATAGATTAATGTTAGTTGACAAATACTTCATTTGTCCAAAAAAGACAGTTTACATTGAATTTTAAGATTTAAATTTAGTACAAATTTAAACACTCAATGTGCACTATATTTTTTAAACACAGGAAGTAATAATAATTGATCAAGACGAACCGAGAAGCTGGAAAAGATGACCGGCTGGAGCTGTCGGATGTCGTAAGCCGGGATGACGACGTTGGTCAACGTTTGGTGCAACCTTGTGTCTCCGAGTATGTCTTGGATGAGTTTGTGGAGATATTTGCCGTCGTATTTTGGCCCTATGATTGCTGTCCTCACGTCTTGTCCAGTTTGAAGAAATGGTTGAAGAAGCGGAAAGCTGTTTTAATATTCAAGTAGAGTTGCCAATTTTGATAAATCATCAATTAGTGCTCGCATCCTATATACGGTAAATAATTTCTTACATAGTACTCTTTTTGTTTTCGTATCACCTTTTACTGTTGTTTTGGTCCATCTGCTTAATTAATAAGTGTTTCCTTCCCGAAAAAAGATCGAATCATTAATTAGTAGTATGACATAACTCTTTCTTTGGGACGAACAAGGAGTTATGCATCGATGATATTGACATGTACCTCTGAGGAAAGATTTTGGGAGCGTGTTGAAGGTAAAAGTCCTTGATCTCTTTGGCTTCATATAGAGGACGACCTTGTCCATTCGGGGCAGTCAACATAGCGGTCACCAACCCACCGGTGCTCGTTCCGGCAATCACATCGAAGTAGTCTACGATTCTTGCGTCCGGTCCGTCCAATTTCTGCCGGAAAGATGAACTCACGCATGTTTCACAAATAAAAATAAAAAATAAAAAAATAAATAAATAATTTTGATTTCGAGTGTCACCGTGTCAGAAATGAAATGTGGAAGATTATATTGAAAATGTAACAAGGTCAAGAACAAGATAAACCAAGTAGGGCTTTTCTTTGACATTTGTATACAAAACAAAATCACCCCAAAAAAAAAAAACACACAAAAATTGAAGAGGAACTGAAACCTGAAGCTCAGCTTCTAAAAAAGCGAGGAGAACACCGGGGATGATTCCTCTAATCCCACCGCCATCAATGCTGAGGACCGTGACCAGGTTTCCGAATCGGGGAAGCTGAGAATCAGGCTTTGCATTGGTGTTGTCCATAATACAAAAAAAAAATTAACAAAAGAGAGATTGAGAGAGCTGTGCGTATATGTTTCTTGATGAGTGAATGAGGCTGCTATATGGGGGTATTTATAGAGTTCTTATTGCACGTGAAATTAAGCTAGTAAATAAATATTTTCAATTTCCCGAAATGATTATCTAGTTTAGATTTTTTTTTGTATAATTTGTACTAAAAGTAAAATTTTAAACTATTGTAGAATCATTTCGGTGCGAAAGAAATATAGATTCCCTACATCCCGAAATTATTGTCCAATTTAGATTTACATTTTAGCATAAATTGAACTAAATGTGAAAATCCAAATTGGATAATAATTTGGGACAATATTAATTTCAAGATAATTTTTGGGACCAATATTGGGCACCACTATAAAAAAAAATATTCATGATAATGTTGAATAATAAGTTAGGAAAATGTCCTCAGGGTCACGAATCATGTGCCAATTAAAAATTACTTCATCTGTCCCAAAATTATTGTCCAGTTTGAAATTTCACTCTTAGCACAATTTAAACTAGAAATGAAACTCAAACTGGACTATAATTATGAGACGGAGGGAGTATTAAGAATGTGAAAAGGATGTTGGCATTTCTTTAAGAGGCTAATAACATATTATTGAACAAGTTTGGCAAGTAATTACAATCAGCTCTAAGGAGGTAAATACCAAAAAAAAAAAACAAAAAAATTATGCTCCCAAGAAGAAGGTACAATGTGCGTTTTTAATCAACTTTAGCAAGGACAAACCTTTTCCAGTGGATCAAAAAGAAAAAAATTTCCAACAAAAATGGAAAACAAGAATAGGTCTATTACACGTTTTATCAATATCCTGTTAACATGCCCATGCCGGCCTCAAGTTAGAAGCGGATAGATTAGAAAAGAGATCTTTTCTACCCAATTAACCTTGAAGCTTCATTCATATATACAGAAAAAGAATAGGTCTATTTCTATTAGACTTAAGATAAAACTAATTTGAGTATAATATATCCACCGTTTATTTGAATAGTGCATTGGGAACCAAGGACGGGCTAGCTTGTTCCATGATTTCACTTTATGACTCGTTGCAGTGCCTGCCCTGCGTCTAATATTCTGACCTAAAAAGTAAAAAGTCAATCGTTTGGAAAATATATATATATATATATATATATATATATGCATATAGTATAACGCTGATCGGCCATCATTTATGTTCCTCAACAATCATGGGCTTATTCCAAGACCTTTGTACACCAAGATTTTTTAAAGCTGAAAATTGAAATATTACATAAAATATTAATATTATTACTACCTCAAAATGATTTTCCAGTTTAAATTTTAATTTTAGTGACACAATAACCTTTTTTTTTTGTCATAGTTGTATTTTTTTTTAATAGTACAACATTTTGAAACGGAAGAAGTATGATCATCAGCAAGAACGATCCTGGGGTGGAAATCACAATTTTGCCTGTTGATGTTTGTGCAAATCTGCACCAAAAAATATGCACACATTTCATTTTCCCCCATTATCTGGTTTTTTTATTCACCACTTGTATAAACCATGTTTATTCAAGTTTGGAATCGAAGAATGTTGAGGGAAGATTTCAAAAGATGAAAATTTTCTTTTTTCTTCAAGAAAATAAATAATATCGACAAGGACAAAATAAATAATAAACAAAATGCCAAGTTCAGAAGGTGGTGGCGATTGTTGTAGTGGGCGGTGGAGGACCGTGAGATCAGAGGAGAAAAAAGGGAAAAGAAGATGAAAATATGTTTTCTTTTTAATTAAAGTAAAAAGGCAAAAATTAAAATTTTATCTAGTTTTTTAACTTTTTATCTTCAAAAAATTAAATTAACCAAATTACTTACGGAAAATTATATGGAGTGAAAAAAAGAAAGTTGTATAATTAAAAAAAAAAGGAAAACAATTGTGGGGTCAAATAGTGGGCCCCATTGTTTAGAAAATTAATAAAAAAATTGAAGACTTAATGAGAACAAGGGTTGACCCATTAAGTTTGACAAAATTCTGTTAAATGAACCAAAATTGATGAGAAAAATATTTTCGGGGACGAAAAATTTTGTTTGGTTTTTTTGGCAATTAAAAATTCATGGTGACTCGATCTTGGTACCTCAAAACCTGGGGGACGAAAAGTGTATCCGGTCCTATCGACAAAAATAAGAATTCTTGTTAGGACACTTGATTATTATTACTACTTCTGACTCAAAACAATTATCATGTTTGAATTTGTATTTTTAACATAAATTATAACTAGAAATAATTATTTCAAACAGAACAATCATTTCTGTACGGAACGAGCATTATTATTGGATATATTTGGTATCGTCGTTCTTCCAAGGGTCGGGTCCACGCGATCGCGTCATAGTAATTCATTAGGTATGGCTTGAAAATGTGGAGGCAGGTGGAAATTTAATGATTGATCAACTAATGTGGGGTTTTTTCCCCAAGTTCATAAAAATAACCTCCTCTAACATGTTGAAATTCAATCTCCCTCTCATGAAGGAAACAGATTCATCGATACTTATGGTCTTAATTAATTAGGTCGAACTCAACTGGATACTAATTATTGTTTGGTACCAAACAGTTTGAGTTTAGTCTTCCAAATATGAAATAAACATTGTATCATCTAGCTAGCTAGCTTGTCTAGTTTTCACTTCAAATTGACACATGTAGATCAAATCGAACTGATTAATTTGGTACACCAAATACCCATCTTCTGACTGTAAAATTTTGTAACCTTATATAACAAACTTGATCTCTTTTCTTTAAAAAAAATTTAAGAGTAATCGTCAATAAGATGAGGCTCGTACTCATCAATACAACAAATACACACATTGAATTTAATTCCTTCCTGTCATTATTAATTGCTTCTGAATGGACGTGCACTAGCTTTGAAAATGATGTTTCTTAAAAATAGTTTGTTGCTATTTAAAGTTAATTTGACAGTTAGTAAAAAAAAGTTTAATACTCCCTCTGTCCTGAAAAAATATTCCACATTGAGTTTTTAAATTTGTACTAAAAATAATATAAAACTCAAAATTTAAAATGGACTTTTTTTTTGGGACGGAGGTGATATTAACTGCGCTAAATTATGATGTTGTTCTTGACACAATATTCATACAAGTCCCAGCCTGCTTTGGCATTACAATTGCGTTTCTCTTCAGAGAGCTTTGCTGCAAACCTATGCAGGAAGAAAATATAATATAAAAAGTATCTCAGAAATTCCTATATCGTGTAAATAATTTGTCTGCTTTATATTTCCTCTGATTCTTAATATAAGGCATTTTAATTTGTTCTAAGTTTTATTTAGTACGTATTTTTAATTAATAGAGAAAAATCTTTTAAATATTTCATGACAATCAAGAGAACATTACAGATGTGAAAATATATTTTTAAAATTTTTTATAAATTGAAATATGTGCTAGGTTAAACTTAGAACAAATCAAAATGTTTTATATTAAAGAGTAGAGGAGTACATAATATATACCGTGCAATCCACCCATCTTGGTGATTCCGGCTCCCCGAGTGGTTTGCGTAATTGCAGTGTTAGCTTAGTTGAATTTGCGTTTTATTATTATATACATTGTTTTAATTAGTTGGGTTAATCATGTTTTTCTTTAGCTAGAGAATATGAAGTTATATATGAACGTGAAAATTGTCCAAACACAAATTCAAGTTAACATTGTTGAGTAGCCTACATAGGTGGTTGGAGAGGTTTAAGATCAATATGTAAGTCTATGGGCTATTTCTCTCATTATCAATTGATTTTGAGCTGGAGCTCATGGACTTTTATATGGTATCAGAGCCAGCCCACTAAGAGCCAGACTCCAAGCCTGATGTGATGGAATTGGTAGGGCTGAGACGTGAGACGGTAAATGGGCTGAAGAAAAATAGACAAGCCCAACCCAAGAAGATACGTTGGGCTTACGGGGGAGTGTTGAGTATCCCACATCGATGGTGGGAGAGGTTTGATATCAATATATAAGTCTGTGGGTTACTTCCCTCATTGCCAATTTGTTTTGAGGTGGAGCCCATGAACTTCTATAAATACTACTTCTGTCCCAAAAATAATTACTCCATGTGCTCTAAAATTACTGTCTAATTTGAATTTTCAGTTTTAGTATAATTTAAACTAATAATGAAAATTCAAATTATACAATTATTTTCAGTTTTAGTATAATTTAAACTAATAATGAAAATCCAAACTATACAATTATTTTGGGATAGAGAAAAGATTACCATGTTTGTTGATCACAATAAACATGCCAATCATTTTGGCACAAAAGAATATCATCTTATATATATTGTAGAATGGAAATATTGAAATATAAACCATAATTAATTAAGATCTCATTAAGCAGTGTCTATCTTTGTGCCAAAGTAATTCTCCAAAGTGTCTTCTTCGCGGGATCGCGTCAACATTACGGCAAACAAATCCAGAGGTTCCACCGAATTCCAAGTAAAGAAATCAAGTTGTTTTCACATTAATTCACTATCTTTGATAACAATTCGATGTCCTATCTACTATTAATTAATGCTGCACAAGCTGTGACAATCTCCTCTAGTTTTGATCATAAAAAAAGTACAGAAGCTGCTAGCACACTACGATCTTTGTGTTCATTCATTCGTAGAAACTGCGGAACCCTTCATATCCAATCGGCATGAATTGTGGTTGTGGACGATTAAACTCATTTTTAGCACAGCTGTTGAAAATGATTTAGGAACATCCGTAGTGATGGAGCAAAACTCAGAAGACAATCACCTTAATATCTTTAGGAACTGTGTTACCACCTATTTCTAGTTTTGCTTGGAGCATTGACCGCAAAGTAATTCAAAAAAGGTAAAGGAAAATGTTTGCATCGACTAATTTGCTAGGTTTTTTAATCAGACCCTCTACATAGAACTAATACAAGAGTAGTGATAGATGTAGAAACAAATTACAGGAAAAATATACAGGGACTAGTGTATCAATCATCAAAATTATGTCTAACTTTATCCTTAAACTCCAAATGAAAAGTGTAAAAAATGAGTGATTATAATTA